AATTAAATCTGTATTGGGATCATCTTATTTACAGTAATATTATGTGGTAAAAGGTTATACAACTGTCTGAATGCAGGATGTATGTGCGCTATTTTGAATAAATTCATATTAGCCCTGTCAATACATGTGACATTTCAAGGCGTCTTGTAGAAAACGTATTAGAAATATTATGTTGAGTTTACATCATGTTAATTTATGTTGATTTCAGTACAATCCTCCGAAAATGTGAAAAGGGTGGTCGTTTTTATATTTCAGATTTACATTGCCCCAGATCTCCAAGACTAAGCTTGTCATAATAAAATAAATTGTACATTTAGGAGTATGATACTCCAGCGCTGTTTTCAATAGTACAATAACGTCATTTCTAAGGCCAATATAGTGAAATATTGGACCGAGGGCCGAAGGCCCAAGGTCCAATATTTCACTATATTGCTCGCAGAAATGACGTTATTAGTATTATTACCACCGTTAACGACCAGGACTGAAACAGCAAGAAAATCTTACGCATTGAACGATATCTAATTTCCCATTGGACCACCACTATGACGTCACACATTTCTCAGGTCGATATAGTAAAACCAATGCCTTCTAAACTAGCACTAAAATCCCTAGAACTGGCCCGGTGTGAAAGAAATGATGGTCCCCCAGGGATTATGGTCCCCTTTCCTAACGGCCCTTACTGGCCCTGATTGTGTATAAGATAATGATGGAAAGAGTTGTATTTAGGTCACCATATAAATCAATGGAGATTAGGACCATAATTTGATAGGACCTCCTACCCTTTTACACCGGCATGGTGGTAATAATAGTTTTTACTCTTAGCGTTGTTTGACTTCAAACAGATGTTATAAAGTTAGCCGCAATAGGATATAGCCATTGCATGGAGTAAGTTATTTTCTATGGTATAGCGAAACATATGAGTAAAAAATAAATTGCGTGGGCTTCTTAGTGTTTCTATGCAAAATAGCACGCTGACGCTGCGTCACAGCGGAATTTTTCAATACCGGCCTGTGGTTATAATATAACGGCAAACATTGCCAGTGTTTGGGGATTAAAACCTTTTAACCCGAATTAGTAATGTTGTAAGGCCAAAATGTAATTATTTGGTTAAATTTTCAGTTATCGATATACGGTTTCACAAATGCATTTCAATCATGTCCTTGTATATGTAATGAATAATATTGCAGTGCTCTTTCCTCAAGAATTTCTTTTTGTGAAGTTCAACCAATTAAAATTATTTATGTGGCTATTGGAATGCGTTCGAATGTGGAACTAATGTATATTCATCACAAACTTTGTAGTCAAAATAACAAAAGGGATGCTATTTGTGCTTAAAACAAGATAACAACTATATAACCCTACTATCACACCAAACTAGTTCTCACTGCGTTCTCGAAAACGGGCTTCAACTGTGTACGAACGGACTGGACGTACTAAGAACCGTTTGGGATCTATTTACAAACTTCATCGAACGTACTCGAACGGGTAGGTACTCTAGAACTTAGACAATGCTCAAAATGTTCTCGTGGTCGTCACGTTCTACAATTAGAACGAGTGACAACGTACTAACGACGAGCTGGACGTATTACGAACGGAACCGTCGTACTTCAATCCTACTAGGGACGTTTTAACAACGAGTTGAACTGTCTGAGGACGTGTTGAGAACGAGGTAGAACTCATTGCAAACGGGTTTAAACTGATTAAGAACGTATTTAACACTGCTTATGAACGAGTTAGCAAAACTATAGCTATCACACCAAACAAGTTGCCAAAGCGTTCTTCAAAACTGGTTCTAAACTGTGTGCGAACGGAATGAACGTAGTTACAACTTTCTAAGGTCTATTTACGAACTTTATGAACGTTCTCAGACGGGAATGTGATTTTAGAATTTTGAATCGATTCAAAATTCGATTGCGACCATACCGTTCTGTTATCAGGTCATGATGACCTTCTAGACTAAGGGACGCATTCTACGGCGTTGCACACCGACGTGGTGCGACCTGAACGAACTGCGAACGAGATGGACGTATTGAAGACTGTTTAAGAACGAAGAAGCTAATTATTTCAGACATATTTCCCGACCACAGCCAGATTGAGCCCGTTTTACGACGTTTTCGTAGGACTGGCAAGAACGGGTTAGAACGAGTTTGGTGTGATAGGGGGGTAAGATTCTTAAATTGGTTTTAGTAAAACTTTAAGTCTTTAATGCAAATATACTTGTAAGGCAACAAAAACAAAATTATTTTTACCGATATTATCATATTGTATTTTATGTATTGTGCTTATACTACAGGGTTCGTACACCTTTTTCAAAATGAATTTCCCTGACAATTCCCTGACATTTCCAGGCAAAAAAGGAAATTTCCAGATCTAATTTTCCTCGCGCGCCCTCTAAAAAGTCTCAAACAACTGTATTATTCAAGACAAAAAGACTTATTATGAAACATTTGGGGTTTCTCCTTCAGTACCATTTTTCATGACTTAACTACTTGTACAGGCAGTCTTATTCACCAATTTATTCCTGATACATTTTATTTTTAATATTACATATTTTACATCATGTACATTGCATAAGGCCAAAGGTAAACATACATGTACAGGGGCATAGCCAACAAGTATCAAGGAGGTGCATCTTTTGGGGTTTGCATCACTGCGAGCGAAGGAAACCAAGAAGGGGGGTACGTGGGTTCACCCCCGGAAATTTTTCAAAATTGACAATTGTATATGGTGCATTCTAAGCATTTCAATCTATAATTTGTTAATGTTTTGTAATGAATCCAAATGACAACTGAAACTTTAAAATTTTGATCTAAATCCTACTAGAAAACAATTGACACCATACTGTAAAATGGGTATTGTTAGCGAGGGGTAATTGTTAGCGAGGGGTAATTGTTAGCGATTGTTAGCGATCGCTATAGTTTCGCTAAAATTCAATTCGCTAAAATAAACCGGGGTTAAAATAAACCGGGCGCTAAAATTTGCAAATTCCTGGGAAACTACATGAATACTAGTATTTAAGGAGCTTCTCGTTCAGTGCTCGACTTCCGGTTTGTAATTTGAAAAAGGTAAATATTTTTAAATCGTATGTTTCTTTCAATATCTGAAGGATAAATAGCCATCCATCCAGTTTGGACCAATACCATGTGCGTTGGAAGTCTTACATTTTGATAAATCCTCTGTCATGTCCGTTATTCATTCTTCTGCCATAAATGATAAAATTTCTAATGCATTTCGCTAATTTGATTTTTTAAAGATTAATCTTCATTTCGCTAAAATTTCCCGCGCTAAAACCCCCTAAAATTGAAAATCGCTAAAATTTCCTGGTGTCAAAATTACCCGTTTTACAGTATTAGAAATTCCTTCTCAAGTAGCATCACCAGATCACGAAAAGGCTCAGGCTTATGATACCAAATCAAATAATCAGTATTTTGTGTTATCAGGAATCAAATTTCTTTAAATTATCAAAAACTTCATAAAAAAATGGTGGCAATTTTGAATTCAGAGACCATCTTGAATATTTCTTCTTGAGCAGGTCCTTTGTCCCTAAGTCTACATCATACAAAATTTGAGCCAAAGTAAAATGCTGGGTTCATCTTTACAAGAAGAAAAATTTGGACCAAATTCAAAAACTGTTAATAGTACCCCACACACATTTTGGTTGCCTACTTCCATGTGCTAAGGTTTTCAAAATTGGCAAAGCCCCTGAAAGTTGAAAAGACTGACGTACGATCAGACTGTCAACAGACAGCTTCTTAATATAAATACAATTTTACATTGTAAGGAGCTCCCAGAATTTTTTTGTTTTTCACCTCCCGCCCACCCCCCTCAGATTAACCCCTCATCAAATCATGAAATATATACCAGTAATTAACTTTGAATGGCCTAAGACTAAGCTTACTACATAAAAAAGCATAATTGTATTAAATCATCTATACATTATTTTTATTGTTCGGTTTCAGTGTAATGTTCACACTGTTCTTACAAATAGATAATACCAGATTTAATGTCATTCAATCAACCCTAATGAAAATATTTACAATTAGTGGAAACAACTTAACATTTGATTTTGGATTTCACTTATATCCTGTCATAGCCCTAAAATGTATTTTGCTGGAACATTATTCTTTCAACATTGATACAAAATTCCCTGACATTTCCCTGACACATCTACTGTTTCAAAATTCCCTGACATTTTTGGCCCTTTTTGACCCAATTTTAAAATTCCCTGACATTTCCAGCACCTGGAAAAATAAATCAATTTCCCTGACATTTCCAGGTGTGGTGTGTACGAACCCTGTACTATCAATATAATTTCTACTTCTAGAAATAAATTCAATATTTATATGACTTTGTTTAAGTTCACTGCTCTATCCAGCATATTTAGTTTTTGTATTTCTAATGCCTTTATCTTCACGAAAACAATGTATCTAAAGTTTTACAGAAGTGAACAACTTCAACGTTCCTTTTTTGGGCAGTGAACAACATTCGCGTTGCAGCAGTTATCCAGAAATGTGGAGCGAATGTTGAAGTTGTTCACTGCTCAAAAAACTTTAGATACAACTGTATTTTCCTGAAGATCAACTTCAGCATTCGGTAGCGACAGTCATCCATAGTAAGTGACTGTGTGAAGAATAATTTAGAAAAGCATTCGGGAAAAAGGCATTTCAAAAGTTTTTGAATTACCCTTGTATACAATTTTACAAAGTAGGCAATACAAAAAGTAGTGACTAAAATCAATCAACAATTTATTCAAAGTAATTAAACAATACCAATCTTCCAAGACATACAGTTCTTAAGGTAATTTCTTTTATAAGGTACTTTTTAGTATTAAATTATCAGATCATGCCTGTGTGCACACAATATTCTTATACATGCCAACAAAGCAGCTCTCTGTCAATGTCCACTTAATATTCCTACATGCATTGCTTCTTACTGGTCTCACTTGCTTCTCATGTTTACTACCTGACTACTCACTGATCGAAAGTATTACAAATGTTCATGCTCCAATACTATGAGACCTGACCATTCTTCCAGGTCACTGTAACTGATTATTTCCAAAGTTTTCCATTTGTTTCAGGTATTTTCCAAACTTGTTGTGTTCCTCATAAGGGATGAATACACAGATTCCTCCGCTTGTTCACTGAGCACTCTACAACTGCCTAATAACTCTGGAAATACAACATTTTTTATGATTTTATTATTTCATGTTCATAATCAGTCAGTTTTCAAACTCCATTATACATTTGACCTTTTTCGCAACATTGACCTATAGTGCTTTTTATTAAAGGCTATCTGAAGATACCAAAATAGCATTTGAAATATTTCTATCTATTCTTTTATGATTTTATCATCTATATATTCTATTATCTATTTTCAAAACATGACTTTCACTGAGTTCTTTCAGTTGAATATGCATACTTGTAATACCTTTCAATTGTTCCTCAGCATCATGAATACTTGAGTTTTCAAAACCATCCATTTTCTTAGATTTCTTGGTCCAGTAGTCCTTGGGTACCCATGGTTGTGCTTTTGGGTATTCCTTAACAGGACCATCTCTTGGTTTTCCATCTAAGTATAGAAAAAAGAAAAGATTCTCATGAGGATTTTTCTTGTGAGCTTTTTATTCAGATACTAGTATTACATGAAGAGGAAGAGAAACAAACAAAATGCAACAAACTGCATGATCCTTTTATGAAATAAACAACAGAAAAAATACTAAACCATATGTCATCTACATTTTCAATAAATTAAAACCAACAAAGTGAGAATTTTACAATTTTTCAAAGTGGGAATAATATCTTGTGAGGGTTATTCATTAAGGTGGAGGAAAATTCCTGAAAAATACTTTCTATTGGGAAAATTATTCTCGTTAAAATTTATCTGATGTGAGAATAACTGAGAATAATTCCACTTATATTTGAGAAATAAATACATGTACACAGATAAAAATATCAAGTCGAGGTGATAAGGTTTTTAAAGGGTAACAATAGGACTAATAAATACTATGACATACAAACATATAACTGTATGAAGCAGTCATCTACACCATTGCTCATATACTTGGAATATTCTCATGGCCCTGCCACAATATGCATTTAAACAACATGTTTCTTTTGTGAACATTTTATTTAATTTTGATAGACAACTCCAATTACTTGTAACTGTAAAGGTCTCTTGAGTGTGGGAGTACTAATCTAATGAAATTAGATGAATAAAAAAAGTAAAAAAAATAGTTAAATCAGTATGAAAAGCTTAAAATGCAAAATATTCCATATACATGTACGAGCAAAAGTGTATAATACCCTATATAAAACTAAGATCAGCAATAAAATTCTAATCTGGACTCTAAAAGCATTTATTCATAGATAATTGCATTTTTATGCACTACGCAATTTACAACTACATGTACATACCCATTTCATCTTTTACATTGAAAACATACAGTTAAGAAATTTATTATCACATTAACACATTAAGTCAATCCATGGACTTATCAGAACATTTGAATGTGATAAAATGAACACCTCTCCATAGGAACACTGGTTTTACTGTTAGTTGTAACAATCTGAAGAATAATCATTTCTAAACTAAAGTCTTCCATAGTAGCATGCTGGGTTAATAACTAATAATAACTTTAACAAACCTTCCAAAGTCTGGTCTATCTCATTGCAGAGTTTGAATAATTCACTTCCCTTCCCAGACAGTCTTTCCCCTGAAAAAATACAATTACCTACATTTACAATCTGGGTCTGAGATTATTTTAATTTGCCTGAACTTTTTTATGTTTTTGTTTCAACACCTACATGTATAGTAACATGCATATCTACTTTTAACCATCCTCCTAAGCTGGGCTTCAAAATCCAGAATATATTCTTCCTTTACGGATTCTGGACACCTGCTTAGGAGGATGACTTTTAACTAACTCTATCAATCAATGACTCACTCTTCAGCAACAGCAGACAAGTATCATAATACAGTAAAACACCCATATCCAAACACCCCTCAAATCGATCTGAACACCTCTCTATGTGAACACTTTTTCTTTATCCCAAAATTTTTATATCCCATTGACTCATTGTAAGTTACTGTACATATTTGAAATTTGAATAGCTGCTAATCTGAACACTTCTGGCCTGTCCAATTGTTGCACACATGCATAAATGAAGTCTTATTAATCATTTACACTCCCCTCCATAAGTGATATATGTGTCTAGTATATATACACTCCCCTCCATAATTTTGGCAACCAGAAGTCCCATTTTGGATCACATATCAAAGTCTGCTGTTTCTGTTTGGCGATTTAAACAAAATGTCATATATTCTGAACTTTTGTAAATAAGGAATAAAATGAAGATTCAAACATTAAACAGGCTTAATTGATATACTAATATCCCAAGAAAACTTCTTGTTACCAAACGTATGGAGGAAAGTGTGTAAACCTCACCGTCTAAAACTTGCAAGGTAGGCAGGATTGTAGGGACATCTTTTTTATATGTAAGACTCATACACATGGGGTTTGCTATATCATGTATGGTGTCTCTGAGTCTAAGATCTGTTAACTTCTCTAATGAAGACAAGCACCTTAGGTCACCAACGCTGAAAGCATAAAATCAAGTTTGGCAGTTATAATAACTTATATTGTTTTGTATTTTTAAAATTGAATTATTTTAAATTGGAATTTAATCTGTTCTATCAGGCTCTCATCGGCCCTCAGCCAAGGATGGTTCACGGTTCGAGTGATTTGAAAATCAGATTCAAATGAATTTATTAGTCATGTTCCAAACACATATTAATATTGAAACCATTCAATGTTTTTCCAAGTGTTTGGATATCACCATAAAACAGTGAGTAGTGAAAAAATTGTTCAGATTAGACAGGTTAATATTACAAATATGACTGTTCACTGTTCAAATTGGGAGGTGTTCGCATTTTAAGGTTTTTCTAACATGGGAGTCAATGGGAGGAAAAAATGGGACTGAAAAAAGTGTTCAAATTGGAAGGTGTTTGGATTAGCCAGGTGTTCAGATATACATGTTTTACTGTATCTGTGTATTTATTTACCTTCCAAGGAGGTTTCCAGCCAAGTTCAGAGATTCTAGATTATCTAAAGCCTGGAGGCCTTCTGCAAACACATTTGTATAACATTCATTTTATATGTAAGTTTACAGTTTCACATACTTTACACACCTACATGTAGGTTTAAAACATAAACATTGTTCAAAGTAAAATGTCTGCAAGAACATAAGACTAGAAAATATACTTTATCAAAGAATAGTACCCATAATGCAGAGACCATGCAAATCACAATTTTAAGTTTTGTTTTATTGTTCTTCATAGTTGTTTGGTTTAACAAAAAACAGATACAATATGAGTCTATGGTAGAGGCATTTTTGTAACAACATTTTTCAACAACATTCTCTTATTTGCATTGGTGATATCCTTCCATTTGTAATTTCTGCCTTTCAAACTAAAAGTTTGTTCCCAATGGTGAGAAAAACAAATGCAACCACACTAAAACCTACCAAGTGAACATATCCTATTGGCTGACAGATTGAGAGTAATAAGATTTGTGAGACTCGCAAGTGCATACAAGCGTGTGACATCATTCCGTGACAGATCAAGACGTTCAAGGCCTGTACATTCTCCGAGACACCCTAGATCACCTATGTCTGCAAATGAAAACAGGCATATACTACAGGTACATGTAAGTACAGTGTGTCCCAAAAATAACAGTATAGTATAAACATGAATTATTCTATGCAACTTATTAAGCGACAAAACAATGTACAGGTGTATTGGGATGCACAACTATGTTGTGGTAGGCTAACTTATTTGACCTACATGTACGTGTAACTTCTTGACCTGCATAGAACTTCTTGACCTACATGTACATGTAACTTCTTGACTTATAATTGATTTCTTAAAATCTTGTCTCACGTTCCACCATTTCTTGGATACATGTATGTGTGGCCATTTCACATTGATGTTGTAGCATAGCATTAATGTTCTCACCCATTTCTTTGAGATCCAAAGTATGTATACTTTCTAAATCAAACTCTCCTGTTCTGCATTTTAACATCTGTTTGGTTATCCTTCCATCACCAGCTGCAAATATTAGAGATTGACAGATTGGTAACATTGAATAGTTATATTGTTATTTTGTTCTACACATGTACACCTTTGGGTTTCCCCCTGAAATCATTTTTCAATTTTTCTAAAAATGTCAAACTTTCTCATTGTTCAGCTCAGGGAATGATTTGATAGCAGACCTCGCTACACCCAAATGAAAAGTGATCATACACATACTGTGAATAGATGATCCCATACTACATTCTGACATCTCACATGGGAGAGGAATGGCCGTGATACAACATTATACCCGTTAAAAATAAGTCTTGATGGCAAGGCAGAGCTCGAGCTCACTTCACAACTGACTTTATGATCCCCTCTTTTACAATAATCATTTAGGTAACAAACTGACTAATTTTTCAAATTGTTTGCCTATTTCTAATAAATTGGATGGAAATTTTAGATTTTCTGACCAAAAATGTCAAACTTGGGCACAAAATGTTTTCCCGGTTTTGCCCCACGCCCTCTTGATTTTCAGATCCGCCCCTGGATGCCGGCAATGGCATGATCATATGTAACCCAATAATAAAACACGAGACACAAGATTGACCACAAAGATCTAGGCGTAGTACACATGTGTACATGCACTGCACATACAGTAACTCTACATGTACAATGTATAGGCCCGTGGTATAGGCTATTTGGCAAGCTTGGGTGATAAAAATGCTGAATATTTTGAAACACTCATTACATCATGATACACGGACTAAATCTTGTTATTATAGCGAAATCACCATATTAAACTATTGATGCAATACTCGAAAGTACCTTTACCTGCCATTTTATCGATTATTAAGCGTTAATCCTTGTTTGAATGAGGCACTTCTCGTGCCTGCTGATCCTCTTCTTGTTGCTGGGAGAATGACGCCAGATCTACTTCCGGAATTTTACGACATCTGCTGAATGTTTTCGAGCAGTTTCCTCTCTTTTAAGCCAATTAAAAATATTCATATCGTTATATTAGAATGTCCTTGATACATTGCCAATAATATCTCCATCAAATAATAATTCTAGTCCAAATACTTGGCGTTTCAATGAAGTAAACAACAAGTATTAAAGGTGGGTCGCATCTGTCAAAATTGATTTTTTTTCAAAAATTTCCAAACGCCTCTCTATTTATGCAACAGTGTAGATAACTCGATGTTTTTGACTCCTAGGCAGAGTATACAAAGATGGGGAATAAAGTAGCAATATTTTCGGAAGAACAGTTGGACGCATATCAGGTAGATTTATTGTTCAAATATTTTCAAAATCTAGGCTATCTAGAGTAGATTTCATGGCCTGACTTCGTCGGTAGAACTTGAAAAATAAGATTTACCTGAAGATTAGGAGTCTTACTTACCCTCTAGAGGTTAGAACACACATTTTAATGAAACTCTATCACCCTTGTTGCGTCAACTATAGAGCATTTAGCACAATATCCAAGAGGTAAATTATGGATCGTGAAAATGAATGATTTCCTAGTAAGTTCCGGAAGTTTCAATACGATAAATTACCGAACATTTGTGAAAAATGAATCTTTGTTCGTTGATTTTATAATTTACACGTGCGTGAATTTGTCTACACTTTGGTCTAAATTATAAAGCATCACAAACAGGTCCTAGAATATTAATAGACTAATACAGCTGACGACCCATTCATACTTTCCGCGCAGCATTTCATTCAGACCAATAGTTTAACTGTAGATCATGCACTTTTTCTGTCTTAGAACAGGCCATCCTCCCCTGCCCTGTCCTAAACTCGTCTGCAGAAGAGACCACAAAACATTATCTTCAAATATTTTAATTATTTTTACATCAGACATGGTTGGATGATATGTCACAAAATTAAAGGTCAAGGTCAATACAGTATTTCGTGATAGAGGCAAAGCAGTCCCGGAAGTAAACACGAGGAAAATGGAAAAGTTCAAAAAGCATTACCACAAATTTCAATCAAGTACTGTGCTTATGCTTCATCATGTACAAAACATAGCTGATATGGTTTCATTAAAATGTGTGTTCTAACCTCTAGAGGGTAAGTTATACTCCTAATCTTCAGATAAATCTTATTTTTCAAGTTCTACCGACGAAGTCAGGCCAGGAAATCTACTCTAATTTTTTATTTTGTTATAAAAAGTAAGTTGTAAGAACATGACAGGCTCATGTCAAACTTACCTAGACTAATTTCTACATGTTCTAAGCTTATCTACTGTATTAATACTTCTATATTTCACTCACTAACTTTCAAAGCTTACAGTTCTGTTCCTGGTTTTATCATGGGCTTTCAACTCCCATGGTTTTATGTATGCTAATGGACCCTTGTTGTTTTTGTTGTCCTTTAATTCTACAGTGGTGACGAAAGATAATTGATAAGTTGTATATTTGGCATGTTTTCTTGAATTTTAACATTTAATTTCTCAAACCCTCCAAACTGCAGAAAAGTATACACCATAAATCATATTTACCAAAATGAGCGTCTCCAAGGCTTCATACCAGCAATATGCATTTGTCACGAGTTTGAGCTGAAATTTCGCCAAAATGAAATAACAGTAATCTCTGCCAGGTTTGTTTATTGTGGTTAGCTTTAAATGGTAAATGCTCAGAAGAAAATAATTCATGTGCGCAAAAAATTCCAATACTGTAGATTGGGTTAATTTGGCGCTACTTAATTTGGCGTTTTTGTCATTTTTGGCATATTGGCGGCTATTTGATTTGGCTGATATGCAAAAAAATTAAGCTTAAGCGCTGTTTGCGAATTAAGCCTACCATGTAAATGGGCATGTTTGGCTATTCATTTTTTCTTTCGAAGACCATTGGTGATATCCGCCACGTTTGTACATTTTTGTGAGATCATCCTTTACATTTTGCACCTCGATCGATGCTGATACTATACTGCGATTTTCCTTTCTAGTTTTTCCCTGAGTATTAATGAGTGACTGACCAGTTCTAAGCCAATTTATGAGAGACATTTTTTCATATTGTTGGAAAAATCTAAACTGGAATTGACGTAAACCCACTGGACAAAAAAACCTAGATAATTCCCGGGGATTCATTCTAAATTTTCGCCAAATTCGCCAAATTAAAGCGGGCGCCAAATTAACCCAATCTACAGTAATCTAATTGGTTTCAAAGTGAACATGAGTGAATTAAATTCCCGGGAATTTTACGATTCGCGGATTATCTAAAACTCACAAAAAGCACAAAATATAATAGCATGCAAAAAATACTGGAAGTACAGTATCTTCAATATTAGACTTTAAAATAACTTTTTCTTTGGATCAAGTTTGAAAATGTTTCTGTAAACCCTATTTGTAGAATTAAATTTAAAAAATCCTATTTACATGTAGGCCTACTTTTTTTCAGGACTGTACATTCTTCACACGAAAAGAGATTTTAAGGTAAGTTATGATTCAAAATTTAAGGGGAAAACATACGTCAATTTAGGTTACCAGATATTAATTTCAACCACCAAACTTAATTAAGCATTCTGGTATTCAGATATTCATTTATTTGTGCATATTTGTTACCCTACACATGTACACACATACACTATATTCAAACAAGTGCCTTTAAAATTGTAGGATATATGACCGTTTTAAGACTCTATCACCAGATATTGTTCCTAATGATATGAATGGCCACCAGACACATACAGTGAAGATACCATGCAATACATTGCTGTCTATGTCTGAGATAAAGGTATGCCAGCATGCTAAGGTATTTCCTTGTATAGCCTAATTATGATATTGAGAGAACTTATAAGTGCAGTGTGTATTAAGATAGCTACTTCATTTAATTTTAAAGAATTGGTAAAAAGCATGTAGTAGACAATATGTCATTTAATTGGGTTCATTACAACAATTACATGTATATGAAAAATATATAAATATTAGTAAAAGATTACCATCTGAAGATCGACCATTGCATTGAATGTGTATTATTCAGATTTTTTTGATAAACAGTTAAAGAGAAAAATTATGTTGAATTTTTGTCTCTAAATAAAAATTGGTCCTGGGTTAAACAATCAACTTAAAAAATTGAAATTTGAAGGCTAGTTGAAGGGCAATAAAGGGTTAAATCTGAAATTGTATTGCAGGTATGATCTTTTATCATCTTGTAGATGATGCACTTTTGGTAGATGCCACCTTTTGGTGGCATCATCAAGCTATGATACATTGGTATAGATTGGTACATTGTGTGTCGTTGGTTGTACTTTACAAAATTAGCAATAAATTAATGCAGAAGGTCCAAGTTCATTCTATTTTTCAATGGACAAATTGCAACCTACAACCAAATACAACATTAGTCTAGCCAATATATCATATCTTCTCTTATGCACCAATAGGTGGAAGGGTTTATTGAAAAGGTCTCAGGGGCGTAGACAGCTTTCAGTCAGGGGGAGGTGTGATTGCCAAATTTTTTTCGTTTTTCAGTCAGGGGGGTGCGATCATGGCATTAGTGAGCCAAAAAATAGTTTTGTTTTTATTTTTACAAAAGATGATGCAGCTTCCTTCAAAGTTGAGCTAGAAGCTTCAAATAAAAAGCATTTTAAAGCTCTTTTCTTCTTCTAATGGTTGTAATTTTATTGGTTATGGGGTTCTGAGACCCCCCTCCCCCCTAGCTATGCCTATTGGTCTATTGTAGTAAATATAAGACTACAGTGTTTGGAATGAATAAAATTAAAAATGTCAGCATCCTTTTCACCCTATAATTGCAGACCAACCCTTTTAATAGACGGATCTGTGAGGTTTTCTCTGAGGATGGCACTGGCAATATGTCTTTTGACGATTTTCTGGACATGTTCTCTGTCTTCAGTGAATCTGCCCCCAGAGATGTGAAAGCTGTGTATGCATTTAGAATATATGGTAGGCCTATGTATTATTTTTCATTTCATTAATCATTACTGGACATGAAGTGTGGCGTGTTTTAAAATAACAACAGAGATATTTAAAACAGTGACAGAATATAGTTTTGAAATCTGGTAGGGCATCAATTAATGAGAAAATCTCATGATTAATTTGTGAAATAGTCCGGACATATTTTTTTTTATTAGACTCCAGATGTCAATCTGGAGTCTATTGTTTTTGCCAGTATTCTTCTTCTTCTTATTATTATTATTATTATTATTTTTCTTTAAGAGTTTTTTCAATAACTATAAGGTATCCAGTAAAGATCATAATACAGTTTATTTAGGTTCAGTATCTAGTTGGTGGGAAATTGGGTCAAATTTTTATCTAGGTCAAAGGTCAAGAACTAGGTCAAATCCAGTACTTTGTCACTTTTTTCGATTTTCTCGGTCGTCCTTCAATATTTTTGATCCGGGTTTTTTTCATTGTGTTCCTTATAAAAAAGTAGGAAAGCTAGGGTCGATTTAGTTTTTTGATATCTCAAACCGATTTCGAGATATCAGTGTCCGAAAACGAGGTTCAAAAAAAAGTTCTCCGAATCAAATGATGAGGATATTAGTCTTATAGGAAATTTTCTCAGGATTCCGAATCTGAAAACCAAATTCGAATCAGACTTCCGGTTCGGAAGTTATGGCGTTTTGAAAGCTCAAAAATCGCTAAATTTGGTGCCCATGTTAAGTCAATGGGAAAAAAGATTTTTTTAAAGTGAAAAATACGAAATATAGACTGAGTTCAGCTTCATATAATCAAAGCCTTTAAAAGAAGGGGACCTCAAAAGCCACATAGCTTCAAAATTTGGACACCAAAATGCCTAGGTCAAAATCTAGGTCAAATTCAAAGTTTTTTCTTATTTTTGCGATTCTGACACTACACTTTAATTATATTCTTCGAAATTGTGTATACATGTAGCCAAGAGTGTGCTAATAGCGTTAGCCTTTTGCCGTCAGAAAGTATTTTGACCCACTTTTGAGATATAGTGTCCGAAAAGTAGGTCAAAATAAAAAGTTCTCCAAATTTAACGTTTGAGTTATGAATTAAAGGTAGAATTTTCTCAGAAATCCGAATCTGCAAACCAAATTTCGATCCGCCTTCAGGTTCAGAAGTTATGGCGTGTCCAAAAAGTAGGTCAAAATAAAAATTCGCCAAATTTAACGTATGAGTTATGAATTAGGGGTAGAATTTTGTCAGGAATCCTAATCTTTAAATCAAATTTAGATCCGACTTCCGGTTCGGAAGTTATGGCATTTTGAAATTTCAGAAAATCGATCTGATGGTATCCTGATAGAAAGTCAAGAGTAGAGAAGAAAATATTGAAAAATTCATCCATCCTTCCTATCTGATCCTATCCTATCCTTCCTATCTATCCTTCCTTCGTATCTTTTCCTTCCTATCCTCTCCTATCATATCCTTTCTTCCTATTCTGTTCTATCCTATCCTTCTTTCTTATTCTATCCTATCGTTCCTTCCCATTCTATCTTATCCTACCTTCTTATTTTATCCATCCATCTTATTCTGGATGACTCAGCTTATTCTGGATGACTCGGCTTATTTTAGATGACTGGGCTTAAAAAAGTCTAGATCTGGAGTCTGAAATTGAACTTCGTTCAATTTCCAAAGTCTAGTTTTTATTGGTCTTTGATTTTAAAAAATCTTAATATATATTGTTACTACAGGTGAGTTTGTTCTTTTAAAGTTAAATAAAGTTATTATGAAGATTCTGTTCAGAATAATTTATTGTACATGTTCGTCTAATTAATTTTAGACTTTGACGGAGACAGTCACATTGGGAAGTCTGACCTAGAGAGGACATTATACTGCCTTACACAGAATGAACTTAGCAGGGATGAAGTTGAACTAGTCTGTGAAAAGGTAACATCAGTTTCAGTGCAGTCTATTGATTTAACATCAGTAATGGTGTGGACAAGTGTCAAAGTCAAAGAAATATAAGTCCATGGATTGCACAATACATGAATAGATCAAAATTATTAAGTAATTTGTCATTTAATAATGATAATAACTGTCAGAAGTGCCATACTGCCATATCAATCAGGGAAACATAATCTAAGGTCAATATTGTTCTCTCGTGGAAAGTTTCATGAATTATTTATCTCATATTCCATTGTATGGGATAACCTGGAACACTACTCTGTGCTCTTATAGTCAAAGGCAATCATTTCACTTGATAAAATAGAGCTAAATAGTACACTGTACTTTTAGAATATACATTTTTGGAAGGTTCAGTAAAACCTGTCAGATGGAACACCTTTCTGTATGGAATATCTGTTGACAAGGGACAGTTTTCAAAAGAACCAAATATTTTCCATTGATTTACATGTTAATGTGCCCTCTCAGTAAGGAATGCCTGTCTACTGAGAACAAGGAACACTGCTTTAGCTCCAATTATGAAAATTCACCTGTTCACAAGGAACATGGAAAATTGGTTACACTGTACATCCTATTATTTTGAGAGGTGTGAATGGCTTAAGCCAATATGTATCTAATTCTCAAGAGCTTAGATTAATATGAGTTGAATAAGGATTGCCAATTGTTAACAGGATGGGACTTCCCACCCACTGTAAATTACCCTAATAATTTTAATGCCACCACCACAAGTGGTGACATGTTGTTATAGTCTCCAACTTTTTTGTGGACAGTGTTTTGCATTCAGCAGTCAGCATCTGTAACAAATGACAGGTGGTGGCATTTTTCTTGTTAATGTCTTGTTAATATATGTTTAATCTTATTTTATTATTAATTGCCATGACACAAATGCAAATCTTTCAACAAAGCTTGATTACATCTGCATTGTTGTGCTCATTTATGGACTGACACAACTGTTTTTGGAGATAAAAGAGCTGTATTTGTGCCATGTTTCAACAAAGCTTGATTACATCTGCATAGTTGTGCTCATTTATGGACTGATACAACTGTTTTTGGAGATAATAGAGATGTATTTGTGCCATGTTGAGCTAAATCTCTTTAAATCTTTTAAAGATTTAAACTTTTAGATTGTAAATGCTATAAAATTAGGTAGATGAAACAAGAATATGCTAAGCAACATCTCTGGAAATATCAAATCAGTAAATCATCATCTACAATAATTAAATGCTTATTCAACAATTTGTTTTTTGGGGTTGACACATGTTTCTTTTTCTGAAAATTCCCTATACACTTTATTTCAGGAAAGGTATCAGTTTTGGGGAGAATTATACATTTGTGCACTTTGAATGTTAAATAATATCCTTATTCCTTATACTTTATATAAGGATACTTTATGAGATGATACATTTTGGATGGTTATAAATACATCAGTAAGTCAGTTGTACATGTAGTTGAAATTTTGTCACCATACATATATTTATATCATTCAATTCTACATACATCCCTTTATTTTTCACTCATTATATATCCCCCACGAGTACTAGCAGTAGTCACAATTCATAATTCATAATCATGATAGAATATTCATATATTCTACATGTACTTCCAGGTGTTTGAGGAGGCAGATCTGGATGATGACGGCCAGTTATCTTACATGGAGTTTGAGCACGTCATCTCACGAGCACCAGATTTCATCAGGTTAGTAGTAACTATAAAAATAAGCCATTTCTTGTTTTCCTTATTTATAGGTGAAAATAATCTCTTCTTTCATACTTTTGTTGAAGACATGGAAACTTAACAGATTGGTCAACAGAGATAAACAATTTTCTCAGCTAACCTCTAGAGATATACATGTAAGCAAACACTCTATTTGAAAAGCTTAAAACTCACAATTGCCTTTTGGGCAGTGAACTAAATGCCACTTTGGTTATAGTGATGGTAATGTGTAATTTAGATCCATGTATATGTGACCTTCTTTTCTTTTTTGTATGATATTCTAAATAGATTCAAAAGAGGTCAAGTGCATCTTATCCTATGCTTTTACATTGTCTCTTAAAGTTCATGACTGATCAATCATTAAACCTAATATGCAGATTGAAAATGTTTTTCAATTTTTCACAAAAATGTCATATGTCCTAATGTACATATGCTTATAAAATTCGAAATATTGTTTTGCCCGCAAAAAAATATTGGTATTTATTTTATTTTCAGTAACTTCCATATTAGAATCTAACTCCAGACATTACTCAAGATAGATGTCGTATATTCAGGAACAATATATTGTGATAAATGACTAGCAAGAAAGATGGCAGCACATGAAATACAACATACGATATGAATGCTCCAAAGTCAGACGATTTTAGTGACCAACAATTAATATTAGTGAATGCAGAATTCTTCATTCTAAAATGTGGAGAATCAATCTTTAAAGATCTCTTTTTTTCTTTAAATGCAGAGTGTTTGTCTATGAAGAATGAAGATTCCTCCATTTTAAAATGAGGAGAGTTTCTCTCGAGTTGTTCAAGAATGTGGTTTGTTCCATCCATGAAATAAATCGGTGATCTCATATTTGTCATATCCCTTAATATGAATTAAAAAATATAGATTTGTCCCTTGTTTTGCAATGATATGGCAAAAAGAACAGGGTAAAATGTATATATAATACACATATTGTACTTTTGCTAGTCATAGATATTATTTTTACACTTGTAACTATTCTTACTTTACAATTGTTATATATACCTTATTTATTTATTTGTATCATATTTACTCTTAAGATATTACATTTTTGTAAATATTACTGTACATGTATTTAAAAGGCTCCAATGGTGCATGGTACTAGGTGTGACTGAAGAACAATGGACTTTGGTTGGTACATTTTCGTTTTGAGTTGATCAGTTTGGTGTAGTTGCAGATGGAGTATTTATGCGGAAATTCATTACGCCACAATTTTTGATTTCCATTCTTAAAAGTATAAAACTCCCAAAATTCAGTTATCCAAGAATGCCCAGATTTGAAGTATTTCGACATCGTTCCTCTCAGCTTTCACTACATTAACATTGTAACTGTTCATTGAACTCGTGGAGATTATATAACCAGTACCTGCGTTACAATTTAATCACAGTGACAATAGAATACAATGGCTATTATCAGTGACATAAAACATGTTGTTTTCTATGTCTCTGTTATTATGCGATGATTGCAATAATTGTATGATAACCATTAACACTTAATGACAGTTGTAACTCTTCTCATTAGATGAGTTGAAATCAAAGAATATAATATGAATATGTCTCATTATATCAGAACAGGTTTCTAGAAAACAGAAAAATGTAATGAATATTTATTTACCAAAAAACAAAATGAGAAAGGAAAGACTAAAAGCCAAACCAACAAATGTCAATATCATCATATAGTCATACAGAGTTAAAGATACTGTACTGTACCCAGGCCTGTAGCCAGGATTTGCCAAGGGGGGTTCACTTTTTGGAAAATTCCAGGGGGGTTCACTTTTGACAATTTTGGTCCAACAATGGCCAAAATCACTTAAAAAGTGCTCAGAATGGTGAAAAACTGCATGATTTTGAAAGAAATTTTGGCCAGGGCGGGGGGTTCCCATCAACCCCCCCCCCCCCCCCCCGGCTACGGGCCTGGTACTGTAAAGATACTGTACTGTTTGTACAGTATTGAGTCATTGCAATCATGGGCTTTCAACAAGAATCTAAGTGAAAGCCCATGTTGTAATATATGAACATTTGTGTATTGCAATTATTTGCACATCAGAACATGGGCTTTCTAGATGGCCCTTAATTAGCATACGTTTATATATTTATTTTATTTTAAACAACATTTCTGTACTTGTAGACCTGCTATTTTTCAGTGCAATTATATTCTAGTGTTTTTTTCCTTTTTATCAGTTCACAATATTTGTTTTGCTTTTTATTATTTAGCTAAATTGTAATTTTCTCTAATTGTGCAAAAAAAAGTGAAACACGCCTAATGAGTTCAAGATAGGTGAATAACCTATAAATGAATAATAAAAATGTAATTCAACTTCATATCTCACATCTCTCAAGGTTAATAAGCATATCAAGATTGTATCAATTAATAAAAACTGATTCTAATTAATAAAAATGGATTCTAATTAATAAAAATGGATTTTGTCCTCTTGAATCCAATACCTGGGAATTTATCAAATTAAGTTGCTAGGGGCAGAAACACATCATTACCATGGTAACATAATCACTGCTTATTTCACCAATGTTTCTGTTTTAAATTGAATATTTACCACCGTTGTTTCTGACTTATATAGATCTAGTCAGTTTGCTTAAACCACTCCTTATAGAAAGCACTTCAAAACATGAGAACAGCACATTTTATTCATGGGGAAAATTCTCTCTTTGAACTGAAATTGAATTAATACAAACGACTGAGCATGGATTTTATCTCAGTTCATTGTTGATACTATTAAGTAGATATCGTAGATTTTCTTCAGATGTTATTTTTCTAAGCAAACCATACAATAGAGAACATAGGGCTTATTGATTACCGATGCAGAGCGAGGATGGATTGCTTTATTTTACATTCTCACCTTGGTGACCAATGTTTTCTAAGGATCAGCTCTTGTTTTATATCAGAAAGAAATCATTGTCTGTACATGTTGTAGGTGTATCTATTTACTTTCTTATTGTAGAAATTACCTTTGTTATTGAAGTTGAAATAAAATAACAAATAAAAAATAATTTGCTTTGAATTTGTCTTGAATGCGTATACAGGTATAATGAACTGAAGCAGTCGCAGGGAAACTGGAATGATCTGACCCCAAATCAATGAAATTGTGATTGATGGGTGGTACTCTGGAGTAACTCATTATTAATGCAATTAATGACGAAATATTTGTTGATGTAAATATTGCATGGAGATCTGGTATTATACGGTTCTAAGAGCATTTGCAAATACAACAAGAGGATGCCATATGTAGTTATCTGAAGCACAAAGGGTACATGAATGAGACTAATGATAATGCCAAATGGATGTGTTTTTTTCTTCTATAAAGTACATGTTCAGGATCTAACTCGGCTAATGTGCCAGTATTTAAAGGGAAAGGGTTTTGAGCTTGAGTAGGATAGAAAAAATATTTTGGCGTGATAATGCAGAAAATCCATTTTAGGTCTAGTTGTTTTATGATCTGTTCAAGAGTCCCCCCCCCTGTCAATAAAGAATTGGTAAAATTGAACTTTGAAAGAAAGTATACATGTATAATTGAAAGAATGTAAATAATGTGAGAAAGTTTCTTGAAAATTGCACAATGTTTGTTCACGCCATCTATTTCTTTTGATCAATCGCAAAATGAAATACATAACAATAGAATACGAATGTAAGTCATTTATTTGTAACTTTTAAATGAAAATAAATATAGCTTCTTTGTTACAGCATTAAGATTTATATACATTATTTTACACATTGTACATATTTTCAGTATATTATGATATAATCATTTAAGGTTAAACACCAAAACTTATTTTGTTTATTAGAACAACTTTTAACAAGGCATTATTATGCACAATGTCACCACCTGCCATTTGCTACGAAACACTAAATGCTGACTAAGGAACAACAAACACCAACCACCAAATGCTGAACACCAACTGCCAAACACTGTCCACAAAAATGAGACTATACAGTGTAGCAATATATCACCATTTGTGGTGGTGACATAAAAATGATTCCATACATGCATAAATGTAATGTTCTAGATGTTCAAACTTGTTTCCATGGTAACAAGGTAGCAAGTATTATGAATGTAGCCTGCCATGACAAAACTAATTATTATATGAGTTGAAATTTTATATTAGATACTAAATTGCCATTTCCGCACAGATTCACCTGAGCTGTCAACAAACAGTAAAATATGATCAATACATGGACAGAAAGTCAGCATTTGCATCGAAGCAGGAAGATGGGGTAGAATTGTCAAACTTAATGCATGGGAGGATGAGTGGAATGAAAGTCAATGCATGGGAGGATGAGTGGACAGAAAGTCAGCATTTGCATGGGAGAATGAGGGGAATATGGGGAATGAAAGTCAATGCATGGGAGATGGGGGGAATGAAATTCAATGCATTGGAGAATGAGGGGAATGAAAGTCAATGCATGGGAGAATGAGGGGAATGAAAAGCAATGCATTGGAGAATGAAGGGAATGAAATTCAATGCATGGGAGAATGAGGGGAATGAATGTCAATGCATGGGAGAATGTGGGGAATGAAAAGCAATGCATTGGAGAATGAGGGGAATGAAAAGCAATGCATTGGAGAATGAGGGGAATGAAATTCAATGCATGGGAGAATGAGGGGAATGAAAGTCAATGCATGGGAGAATGTGGGGAATGAAAGTCAATGCATGGGAGAATGAGGGGAATAAAAGTCAATGCATGGGAGAATGTGGGGAATGAAAGTCAATGCATGGGAGAATGAGGGGAATGAAAGTCAATACATGGGAGAATGTGGGGAATGAAAGTCAATGCATGGGAGAATGAGGGGAATGAAAGTCAATGCATGGGAGAATGTGGGGAATGAAAGCCAATGCATGGGAGGATGACGGGAATGAAAGTCAATGCATGGGAGAATGAGGGGAATTAAAGTCAATGCATGGGAGGATTTGGGGAATGAAAGTCAATGCATGGGAGAAAAGGGGGAATGAAAGTCAATGCATGGGAGAATGTGAGGAATGAAAGTCAATGCATAGGAGAATGAGGGGAATGAGAGTCAATGCATGGGAGAATGAGGGGAATGAAAGCCAATGCATGGGAGAATGAGGGGAATGAAAGTCAATGCATGGGAGAATGGGGGAATGAAAGTCAATGAGGGGAATGAAAGTCAACGCATGGGAGAATGGGAGGAATGAAAGTCAATGCATGGGAGAATGGTGGGATGAAAGTCAACGCATGGGAGAATGGGAGGAATGAAAGTCAATGCATGGGAGGATGACGGGAATGAAAGTCAATGCATGGGAGAATGTGGGGAATGAAAGTCAATGCATGGGAGAATGGGGGTAATGAAAGTCAATGCATTGGAGAATGAGGGGAATGAAAGTCAATGCATGGGAGAAATGGGGAATGAAAGGCAATGCATGAAAAATGATGGATCTAGAAAAGAAGAGAAAGGAGAGTCATATTGTCACAAAATTATGTCAAACTAAAATCAATTCATCACCAGGGTGATTTTGTAAAACTCTTTTATACATAAAGTGATCAAAACAGAATCACTAAACATTAAAGAAAACAATCAAACATCAAGATATGATATAAACCTTATGTGAAATCATATTTTTGCAAGCAATTGATCTGTTTGTTTTTGTTACCAAACAATGATGAAAACACTTGTCACCCGGTTACTGTAACAATTCAAGTACATGTATATACAACATTAAATGAAACATTATGACTGTGTGAAGACCGTCTTATTTGTACAGATACACAAAAAATTCACATTGGTTGCCACAACTGATATCAGTAATATGAGAGAGGTATTTCACGCAGGAGAAAGCAATTGAGTATATTAATTACCAATACCGACTTCAGGTTTCTGAACGTGTTTTCTAAAGGTAAATTCCATGTTCCTCAGAATTTTATTGATTTGGTCTATACGCTGGCTTCTAAAGTAATTTACAATGTGGAGACAGGGTATATGGCTTAATTGGCCTTGATCACAAAATGGTAGCCCTAAGGTTATTTTTTATACATGTTTTTCAGAGAAAATGGGTTCTAGATGTTCCATAGCTGGAGGACTGGTTTATTTACAAATATTCTACTGTTGAAACAAAGGCTTCATCTATAGGTCAAAAAGTTCTACAGGCTACATGTGTATTGTTCTTAACATTTGCTGTTGGTTAAGTCATGAGAATATAGTCCTCACGTGAACTGAATCCCATTTTCTCCTTAAAGAGAAGACATCAGATTCATCATCCATTTCATTATAATAAACATTTTTTTGATTCAACAGCATAACATTGAGGAAAGGAATAGGAATCATATTTAATGTGACACTTTGTGAACAAAACTGAAGACAAGTTAATTATGATGAATTATTAAGCACGGTGACCAAGAGTTAACAGTGCAAATTGGCCCGGTCATGTTTTTTCAAACTCTTTAGTCGTGTTTTGTAAGAACATGGGATGCGACATTCGTTAGAATGGAGCAAAAAGATAAGAATATTCTATATTTTACAAACTTGCATATCTTGACTTCTACCTAAGATGTTCTTCTTCATACCCACGAATCCATTTTGGGGATAAATCCATCATACTTCATATCAATCGCAATTATATACCAAAAGTGCCAGAAATATGTACTTAATTTGCATTTAGTGTTATTTAATCAAGTTTAAACAGACAATCCATTCAACAACGTGGAATAAATTTGACTATTCAAAAGATCGTGTAAATATTTTAACTGTCTTTATCTTAAAATTGCCATAAATGACCGTAAATGTAGAAAGTGGAGTTAACTATGGAGAAGGGACAACATAACGTCATGGACGTGTCTTATAATAAGCATGTTAACGTTTTGGAATTGTAAAGATAACGTTTTAGACGTGATAAAATTAACAACTTTGAATTGTCTTGTAATAGTGTTCACATTTCACATGTTTTGTTGCTTAATAATTTGTCTGTGCTTCTGAAAATAATCGCATTAGTATTTTGAAGATGAGTGTTTGTACTACATGACTATTCACATATTTTGTTATTTCAGTTCCTCGGAATAAGTGTCACGTGTGTGCTTTCAAAAGCGCCGATAAGAACACGTTCCTTGAACTAGTTACAACTGTTTGCTTTTTAAACTAGTACTAAAATAAATTGAAAAACTAAATTCTTACTATCTCGAATTTCTGCTAGACGTTATAACTCAAAAAGTATCTTCTTAATCAATAATATAATTTATAGTTTATGTTGGTTTTATAATAATTTGCGGGCCTAATTCGACACACACTTTTAACCAGAAACAAATAGTATGCATTATTACACAAGCAGATCCCCCACCATCTGTTCATGTATGATTATAAAACACGGGGATATATACATTAGGTGTCACCCGTTTACGTAATTTGTAGTAAAGATATGAATAAATAAGAAAAAATAAAAAAGACAGATGTATGATTTAACAAGATCATCAGATGTTGTAATTTAATTCGCTAGCAAAGTATGTTACAATACAGTTCATAGGTCACTCATAGAACCATAGCAGCATGTGTAGCGTTTTATACCTATTGCATTGTGTGAGGCAAATTAGGGAATAACATCGAATCAAATTGTTAAAAATCCTGAGGCGAACCTAATAGATTTTGAGCACTAAATAACGGTGGGGTTATTCCTTATATTAGGTGATCATATATATGCATTTACATGTAGTGCATCACAAACTAAACATTTCCTCTCATTTTAAATAAATCTATTTACGGTCATGGCAGGGGAAAGTGAGTTTAGGGCCAATATGGACGTTTTAAAACTTATCTGAGGCAAATTCAAAAATAGCAACGAGCCATTAAATGAGCGACGGGGCAATTAAAAAATATGACTAGTCAAATTTTCAAAACGACGAGCAGCGAGGCAAAGCTCGCTTGCATTAACCTTGCGTGTCTGATTTTAACCATTTTGATTTAAGTTTCAAATTCTGTAATGATTCCATAGATCAATCTTGACAAATTATGTCGTACGTTTGATTATTGTTAATCATTTATAATTAAGATAGTATTACTCAGACAACAACTTCTTCCATTTTTTGGGAGATACATAATGTTAATTGTGCTGTTTCCCACTTCCAAATCGTTAAACCTCAATGTCTCTACACGTCTAAATGTTTCCAGTAACAAGTCAACGTCATTAACCGCAATCTTTTGAACACGTCTAAAGAGTTTAATCTAAAAAATATTATTCGGTCAATTGCTACTTAATTAAGCTCTTCTAACTTGTGGTTTTCGCACATATTGTGAATGCATTCCTTATGAATCGATGTATTTATTGAATACAAGTCAGGCTAGTGATTTTCAGGCAAAAATATGTGTAATACTGACAGAATTGCTCACTTTCCGATATAACAAGACTATAGCATACGATTCGTGCAAATAACACGTTTACGGATACCTGAAGTTAAAATATATAGTATTATAGGAATATAAATTACTTACTTTTACATAAAGTCAAGTGACAGCAATTTCATGAGCAAATTTATCAACCTACCTCTCAAATTTTCAAAAACACACGTCTAAAGAGTTTGAAAAAACACGACCGGGCCAATTTGCACTGTTAACTCTTGGTCACCGTGTTAAGGATGCATTCATTTATAGCCAATGGCAAAAAAATGTACAACAAGCAAACTGAGAGTTTCAAACCTTATTCAAATGCTTCGTAAGCCCTCTGGGGACTCTTGTTATCATACATTCATGGTGCCGTATTGTCATATTGTCTTTGCATCATAAAATATAATTGAAACTCGGAAGAAATTGTGTAACACAATATTTTCCAGAAACTGGTCGCTATTTGTTTTGGCCAATGGCTTGTGTTAATTCCCATGGGGTATTATTGGCATCTAGTGCATGTCCAATGTTTCATTGTTTTGTTCAATAACAATCACTCATATTGCCTTAGACATTCTTCATTCTTATGATTATAAAGGTAATTTGAAACTTTCGATCGACTGTGCTGCATGAGAACCACATGTTATATATGTAATATCTTGATGTTCTTAGATCGTTCTTCAAATGGCATATCCAATAAATTCATGGTAAGTGCATGTTGATGTCAACTCGAACATTAAACCAACATGATGTTTCATGACTAACATACTTAATTTTTCAATAAAATTAATGAAAAACATGGAATCCAATTTGAGGAAAACAGTTACGTGCTAGGTTTTATTTCAATTTACACCCACATATAGCATTGTTAAAATATATACCTCATTTAGACACCTAGCAAATAAAAGGAATGGGACAGTCTCATTACAGTCATTGTTCCCAATTCTATATGGTAATGCTGCGTAAACATGTATACCCATAAAGTATAACATTCACAAGTCAATGTATAACATTCAATGTACATTTTAGTACACTCATGTCAAATTATAATATTTTTTAGTACTAAATATTGTATACATATGCTAAATGTATAATTCTTCAATATAATCTTAAATAAAAAAAACTCAAAAATATTTATTTTACATTTTTTGTAAAATGTACTTCATTATAAGTTATTGTAATACAGATTAGAAATGCAAGAAATATAAATCCTGCATATTTTTCAATACATCCATGATATACAGATATTGGGAGTTTTCACCAAATCGTAAACAAGGCATTAACATGCAAAATGTCACCACCTGCCATTTGTTACAGATGCTGAACACTGTCCACAAAAAAGTTGGAGATTATATCAATATGTCACCACTTGTGGTGGTGACATAATAAAAGGTTGTAGCATAAAACATAAAATCTCTAATTTGGCCTGTTCAAAATGTTCTGCCTGACTAAATCTTGAAGTAACATTGCACACAATAATGTACTAAGTTATGCTAGTTTTTAAAATCATTTCTTCATAGCAGATGAAGTATTTTTTAGACATTGTCTTATGGCTAGTTGAACCATAGGCCCTATCAAGGGGGTAGAGCCCATGGTTGAATGTAGAATCTTTGAGTTTTACAAACATGCAGATCATTTTGATCAACCAAAGTATTATTACTTAATACATACATGTAATCATAACACAATATTCCTTAAAGGCACACAGCATTTCTTAAACACAGAGAATTCAAATTACTTTAATAACAGAAAGTGATTTGTTTTCATTGCTGCTGAGGAATCGTGTCTGTGTTTTATGTCAACATAATTGTATAATCTTCAAATAATCTATTCCTTTTTTACAATATTATCTTTTAGTTTTATATCCTTATCCTGAAGGCACACAATTTCACAGTATATGAGTCACATTATGTACACGTCACATACATGCTCCGGCACAATTGGGGTTGGCTACTTGGAGTGAGTTTATAATATTGTACAAAGCCTTGATCTCTGCAAATACATGTAGTAATAAAATGACATCACTAAAAATAACAATAATGGCTGAAGTTTAATTTACGATAAAATAAATGCACAGTCTAAAGAAAAGGTGGCCACACAGTGTTAGTGATGCAAACAATATGCAAATTCTTAAAAAATGCAAACACTAAAGCAGCATTCATACCCAATACAGATGGAGCTAGCAGAAAATGTTTGGTGCAGTTACCATGTGTGTGTGGTGCGGAATCGATGGTTATGGTATCCGCACAGAGCATTTTCTGCAATCTTCCTTTGCATTGGTAATTGATTATAGACTATTATGCCTCAAAGGCCAAATTAACATGTCTCAAAAATGGTACTGTTCAGTTACACCTCTCAAGATGAACACTCTAAGATGAACACTCTAGGATGAACACTCTAGGATGAACACTCTAAGATGAACACTCTAAGATGAACACTCAAGGAATAAGGATGAACACTCAAAGATGAACACTCTAGGATGAACACTCTAGGATGAACACTCTAAGATGAACATTCTAGGATGAACACTCAAAGATTAACATTCTAGGATGAACATTCTAGGAATAAAGATGAACACTCAAAGATGAACATTCTAGGATGAACACTCTAAGATGAACACTCAAGGAATAAGAATGAACACTCAAAGATGAACATTCTAGGATGAACACTCTAAGATGAACACTCAAGGAATAAGGATGAACACTCAAAGATGAACATTCTAGGATGAACACTCTAGGATGAACACTCTAAGATGAACACTCTAGGATGAACACTCTAGGATGAACACTCTAAGATGAACATTCTAGGATGAACACTCTAGGATGAACACTCTAAGATGTATTCTAGGATGAACACTCTAAGATGAACACTCAAGGAATAAGGATGAACACTCAAAGATGAACATTCTAGGATGAACACTCTAAGATGAACACTCTAAGATGAACATTCTAGGATGAACACTCTAAGATGAACACTCTAAGATGAACACTCAAGGAATAAGGATGAACACTCAAAGATGAACATTCTAGGATGAACACTCTAAGATGAACACTCTAAGATGAACACTCAAGGAATAAGGATGAACACTCAAAGATGAACATTCTAGGATGAACACTCTAGGATGAACACTCTAAGATGAACACTCTAGGATGAACATTCTAGGATGAACACTCAAAGATGAACATTCTAGGATGAACACTCTAGGATGAACACTCTAGGATGAACATTCTAGGATGAACACTCTAGGATGAACATTCTAGGATGAACACTCTAGGATGAACATTCTAGGATGAACATTCTAGTATGAACACTCTAAGATGAACACTCTAAGATGAACACTCTAGGATGAACACTCTAGGATGAACACTCTAGGATGAACACTCTAAGATGAACACTCTAAGATGAACACCCTAGGATGAACACTCTAGGATGAACACTCTAAGATGAACACTCTAGGAATAAGGATGAACACTCTAGGATGAACATTCTAGGATGAACATTCTAGTATGAACACTCTAAGATGAACACTCTAGGATGAACATTCTAGTATGAACACTCTAAGTTGAACACTCTAAGATGAACATTCTAGGATGAACATTCTAGTATGAACACTCTAAGATGAACACTCTAGGATGAACACTCTAGGATGAACATTCTAGGATGAACACTCTAAGATGAACATTCTAGGATGAACATTCTAGTATGAACACTCTAAGATGAACACTCTAGGATGAACACTCAAAGATGAACATACTAGGATGAACATTCTAGGATGAACACTCTAAGATGAACACTCTAGGATGAACACTCTAGGATGAACACTCAAAGATGAACATTCTAGGATGAACACTCTAAGATGAACACTCAAGGAATAAGGATGAACACTCAAAGATGAACATTCTAGGATGAACACTCTAAGATGAACACTCTAAGATGAACACTCAAGGAATAAGGATGAACACTCTAGGATGAACATTCTAGGATGAACATTCTAGTATGAACACTCTAAGATGAACACTCTAGGATGAACATTCTAGGATGAACATTCTAGTATGAACACTCTTAGATGAACACTCTAAGATGAACATTCTAGGATGAACATTCTAGTATGAACACTCTAAGATGAACACTCTAGGATGAACACTCTAGGATGAACATTCTAGGATGAACACTCTAAGATGAACATTTTAGGATGAACATTCTAGTATGAACACTCTAAGATGAACACTCTAGGATGAACACTCAAAGATGAACATTCTAGGATGAACATTCTAGGATGAACACTCTAAGATGAACACTCTAGGATGAACACTCAAAGATGAACACTCTAAGATGAACATTCTAGGATGAACACTCTAGGATGAACACTCTAAGATGAACACTCTAGGATGAACACTCAAAGATGAACATTCTAGGATGAACACTCTAAGATGAACACTCTAAGATGAACACTCTAGGATGAACACTCAAAGATGAACACTCTAAGATGAACACTCTAGGATGAACACTCTAGGATGAACATTCTAGGATGAACACTCTAGGATGAACATTCTAGGATGAACACTCTAGGATGAACACTCTAGGATGAACATTCTAGGATGAACACTCTAGGATGAACACTCTAAGATGAACACTCTAAGATGAACACTCTAAGATGAACACTCAAGGAATAAGGATGAACACTCAAAGATGAACATTCTAGGATGAACACTCTAGGATGAACACTCTAAGATGAACACTCTAAGATGAACACTCAAGGAATAAGGATGAACACTCAAAGATGAACACTCTAGGATGAACACTCTAGGATGAACACTCTAAGATGAACATTCTAGGATGAACACTCTAAGATGAACACTCTAAGATGAACACTCAAGGAATAAGGATGAACACTCAAAGATGAACATTCTAGGATGAACACTCTAGGATGAACACTCTAGGATGAACACTCAAAGATGAACATTCTAGGATGAACACTCTAGGATGAACACTCAACGATGAACATTCTAGGATGAACACTCTAAGATGAACACTCTAAGATGAACACTCAAGGAATAAGGATGAACACTCAAAGATGAACATTCTAGGATGAACACTCTAGGATGAACACTCTAGGATGAACACTCAAAGATGAACATTCTAGGATGAACACTCTAGGATGAACACTCAACGATGAACATTCTAGGATGAACACTCTAAGATGAACACTCTAAGATGAACACTCAAGGAATAAGGATGAACACTCAAAGATGAACATTCTAGGATGAACACTCTAAGATGAACACTCTAAGATGAACACTCTAGGATGAACACTCTAAGATGAACACTCTAGTATGAACACTCTAGGATGAACACTATAAGATGAACACTATTAGATGAACACTAGGATGAACACTCTAGGATGAACACTCTAAGATGAACACTCTAAGATGAACACTCAAGGAATAAGGATGAACACTCTAAGATGAACACTCTAGGATGAACACTCTAGGATGAACACTCTAGGATGAACACTCTAGGATGAACACTCTAGGATGAACACTCTAAGATGAACACTCTAAGATGAACATTCTAGGATGAATACTCTAAGATGAACACTCTAAGATGAACATTCTAGGATGAACACTCAAAGATGAACACTCTAAGATGAACATTCTAGGATGAACACTCTAGGATGAACACTCTAAGATGAACATCTCTGTAATATGAACACTATTTATAGTTCTAATTTGAATTCATTCCATTGACTCCTATGTGAAATCTACATTTCTCTAATGAAGTCCATATTCAAACTTTTTGTTACACATTTTGTTAAATCCCAAAATTGTTCACTTTAGAGGGATTTTACTGTACAGTCTCTCAAAATTATTGTTAATGGCACAACTAAGGATGATAAGTTAATTCCTGTGTTTTTGTTACCATAACAACATACATAATTTGCATTGTATTGCTATTTCTATACAAATATACACTCCATAGAATTAGATTACATATTGTAATATAAGAAATTTATCAAATACAGTATACTGACCTATTTAGATTTTCTAATTATATGTGTAATGCCTTTGAAATGCAACTGATCTATATGTTATCCCCCAGATATTTCAGAAATTTAAAAAATATATATAATGGAACTTATGTAAGTAAGTATAAAGCACCCAAAAAGCATAATATATATAAATATACATGTAAATAATTCATAGTATAAATCTAATAATTGTGCAAATGATCCATACTTAGGTTGACCAATAAATCAAGGATATTGGATATTTTACCCTTACCCATGTACACTATAATGTTGGCCAAAATATTTTCCATCCATCCTTCTTCATTTATGCTTAAAATCAGCGGGTATAGAAATAATTAAAATACCCCTGGGGGAAAAGATGCCTTAAGAAATACCCCTGGGGGAAAAGATGTCTAAAATGACACCCTGTACATGTTTGTCAAAGCATGTCATATAATGCACTCATCATATTGCACTATGCACTCATCATTTTGCACTAAGCACTCATCATATTGCACTAAGTGAAACTGCCATTTCATGTCAACACAAAACCTACTAAGAAGGTAATATTCTATACATACAAATAATTACTACTAGATGTATAAATATCTACTTCAAAATATAAATCTATTTCTACATTTCTGTACATTCTACACATTATGTACATCACACACATTATATACATTTAAAGTGCTGTTATACTTAAAAATGGAAATGCCTACACATTACAAAAAATACTGTATCAGCACATTTAATCTCATCTTACTAATCTAAAATCTAAGCCACCCCAACTTTCCATTTGATAGTCAGCTGTGGTAAAGTCTGTATATGTTTTGGAACTCATATCATTAATTCATTTTATGACTTTTTGGGAGCCGATATGATCGAAAACAATATTATTGAAAGAGGTGCAAATGACCTGCTCTCTCAAAGATTGGTTTTCTATCATAATTTTTCAAAAGATTTCAACAAAGGATGTTCTAAATATGAATTATTTGAAGGAAGGGGAAGTTTAATTTTTTTCTGAAAAATATTGCAGTCTCTGGCCTCACATTTGTAAAAGTAAGCATCATGGTAGAAACATAGAAACACATTATTAGAATTATATTTCAAAAAGCTAAATTTTCATATTTATTTGCAATAAAATAATTGAGTCCATAGTATTTGCAATATTGCAATAAGTCTTCTCCATGAAGATAAAAATTGAAAATTGTATCTAATTAACTTGAACTCTCTTGGCTTGTCTACTGCATTGTTCTCCTTTACTCAAGGTTTAGGTATCTTGCAGTGTACATTCATTCCTGAGGGCCATGTGAATGATTTGGAATGATAGAAATAAATGACCCTATGTCACAAAAACAGCCCCATGTCATACAAATGCCCCTCTGTCACATAAACAGCCCTGTGTCACATAAATGGCCTTATGTCACAAAAACAGCCCCATGTCATACAAATGCCCCTCTGTCACATAAACAGCCTTGTGTCACATAAATGGCCTTATGCCACAGGCCCTATGTCACATAAACTGCCTTTTGTCACATAAACAGCCCTTTGTCAAGTCAACAGCCCTGTGTCACATAAATGGCCTAATGTCACAGGCCCTATTTCACACAAATAGCCTTATGTCACATAAACAGCCCTATGTCAAGTCAACAGCCCTATGAAGAGTCCAACTATAATGCCTATGACAACCACAATTATCGCAAAGCAAATCACGCAAGTCCATTTCCTTCTCTGACGTATGTTAACAAAATGAGCCTGAAAACAACAACAGACATGACAACATTAGCAACCTATTAGTACTAAATAAAGTATACTCCCCTTAAAAAGTTTGCCAATCCCAACTTATTTGCTCTGTGTTAAAGCCTGATATGTTTTACAAAAATCTTTCATTTTCCACCTATATCAACTGTGGAAAAAGTTCAAATTCGAACATGCTTTAATGCACTATTTCAATTGAAAGTCGGAGTTGCCATACTTTTGGAGGGGGGTGTACATATATACGTCTATTGTATAAAATAAGGCTCATGTCACTTGTTTTTTCTAAAAGAAAAACTTTCTTTGGAGTAAATTTTTATGGTTATACAATATTGGACATTGTTCTGTATGATGATAATTAAGTATGCCAATTATCTTTCTTGTTTTATAGAAATCAGAGCAATCAACCCAAAAGAAATAAATGCCTAATATTGAAATACATCAACTGAACATATCGTAAGACATCGTGAGAAAATGAGAAAATATCCTTGAAATATGACAAATTAAATATCAACATCTTGCCATCCATATCCAAAAGATTAGGGCAATTTCATGTTATTGAAAACTGCTTTCAGTATGTTGAGATGGTCTGACGGATATATGTTACCTAGATACATGTATAATGATTTTAGCCAGTAAGTCTGCAGGTTTGAAAATAATCAATTGTATTGTCATTCAGATTTGTATGTAAAGTATATGCTCTTCATTTGGCTCTGTATGCAAATTCTGTATAAGTACTCTATATAGTATACATGTATGTATACTGTATCATCTAAATTGTCTCCATTTGTTATATTAAAGGTACAGCATGAATCTGTTATATGCAAGCAACATGAGCCTTAAAGTGCAAAATGTTAGTGATTGTGAAACTCTATAGAAACGTTAGTAAATATCAAATCTAACACAATCTAACAGTGATTTATTTCTTTATTAACTCATTCGCTACAAAGGACGTGATATGACATCATAAAAAACATACGTTGATTACGAAGGATGTGATATCACGTCCAAGCACAAACCCGATGTATTTTTGGAATCTTGTTACCATGACAACTTATAAAATGGGACTTAAAACCTATTGATTCTGAAAGGGTATATGATATGCTTTAAAATGATATATAACACTATATGTGTATGCCAATGTATACACTATATTTATTATCTCAGAGGTATCATATTTGGCAATTTGTCAGTATTATAGTGCTTTTGCCCCAGCATTGAATGAGTTAAGAGCAAAAATAATGTGTTCAAAATGCAAGTGCTAATTATATAAAGTACATTTTATGACTGCATGGTGCCATATATGAATTAAGTGGTATCATTTTCAGGCATTAAAAATAAATATGAAATAATAAGGAAAAAAAAACATATGGTTTATTGCAGATATAAGGTAAGAGGTAATTCAATGGGAGGGATGGAATATGAATTTTATTCTGAGGGAAAATATGATATTGACAAAGAAAAATATCATATTGACTGAGGGTTATAGCCTAAGTGTCAATTTGATTTTCCCTAGGACAATATCATATTTTCTAAAAGAAAAAAATCATATTCCATCACCACCATCAATAACCTAGTCATTCCATTATATTTTTCTCGTATGTCATCACTCAAGACACAATGATGATGATATAAAATGATACAATTTAATATATCATATATCACATTTTCAACTTTTATTAACAAGTTTTAAAATAGTACAAAAAACGTATAAATTGAGAGAAAAGTTCTAATACTCAAAGTAATAAATTAAAAGTCTAATTATCAATATCTGATATTGCATTTTGGCTCATAGGGGATCTGATATGGCATTTTGACTGATAGGGGATCTGATATGGTATTTTGGCTGATAGGGGATCTGATAAGGCATTTTGACTGATAGGGGATCTGATATGGCATTTTGGCTGATATGGGATCTGATATGGCATTTTGACTGATAGGGGATCTGATATGGCATTTTGACTGATAGGGGATCTGATATGGCATTGTGGCTGATATGGGATCTGATATGGCATTTTGACTGATAGGGGATCTGATATGGCATTTTGGCTGATATGGGATCTGATATGGCATTTTGACTGATAGGGGATCTGATATAGCATTGTGGCTGATAGGGGATCTGATAGGGGATCTGATATGGCATTTTGACTGATAGGGGATCTGATATGGCATTTTGACTGATAGGGGATCTGATATGGCATTTTGGTTGATAGGGGATCTGATATGGCATTTTGACTGATAGGGGATCTGATATGGCATTTTGACTGATAGGGGATCTGATATGGCATTTTGACTGATAGGGAATCTGATATGGCATTGTGGCTGATATGGGATCTGATATGGCATTTTAGCTGATAGGGGATCTAATAAGGCATTTTGACTGATAGGGGATCTGATACAGAATCTTTTGAATATTAAGTATATTTGCTGTTTATTTCCCATGAATAATATGTAACTATAGAATAATGTTGCAATTTACATGATCCAAAATTGGAGTTAAAATGAACAGTGCTAAGATTCGACAAAGACATTGTGAACATTGCCAGCAAACATTGTCAATAAAGCAATAAATTACGTTGTTTCTACTCAACGAGATCATTACAACTGTCTGGATTAACTCGAAGGTCAAAATGACACAGATTTCAACAAAACATTTGTAGATATGCAGCATTGCAGTTCCTTTTGAAGATGTTAACTTGTTGTCTCTCTCAAAAGAAATTTTTTTATTTTGAAAAAATGAGACAGCAGGGGGGTTACATTAGCAAAACTAAATGAAAAAGCCAACCCAGACAATAAATAAAAAAACATAAATATATTGATTCACAAAATCATAAAAAATGTACAAAATATAAAATACATGATTGCAAAAAGTCAAAAAGCTATTACTGTAAGATTAATTTGGAATGTCATTGCATTCATGAAGAAACTCTTTAAACCCACGCTACCCAAAAAAGTATCAGTTCTTTGTCGAAACCTCAAAACACAAAATGAAAGCTATATTTATAATATTTATTTAATGTAAATATTTATGTCATGTTAAAGCTTAATTTTACAAATATATTGGAACTGGGACAATAATTTAATGAAAGCCATAGAATGGCAAAGTAGTGGAAGTAATGTCCTTAGATTAGTTTAAAAACATATTTACAGGTGGATTTAATGGGGTCAATTGAAATCATTTCCCATTTTGTAAATGATGTATTTTTTTAAAATAAAATAAAATACTTACTGCCTCAGGATCTGTCCCTGATTCTCCCTCAATGTCACTGTCAACTGAGTTCAAGGATTTAGAATCTGCAATCACATCAACATAAACATGTATAATAAAAAGCACACTTTTTATATTTTAATTAGGATAACAATCTCACTATGCTAACATATAATAGAATAACTCATTCTGAATCATGGAGAAAATTTGAATATGTACATGTATATACATGTACACATATGAAACATTTGCAAAACTTTTTGAACGACCCTTGTACATATCAAAATGATCAATAATTCACACATAGCTTAACATGATATTTCACAAACAAAACATGATATACAAAAATATACAATATTCTTTCGATAGAATGACAATACCACGGATTGTGTAACAGCAATGCCAAGGCATAGCAAATCCAACATTACACAATGAAATGATTGGTCCATTTTATCGTTATGAATGATCTGTCCCTTTAATTGTTATAAATGATTGGTCCCTTTAATTGTTATAAATAATTGGTTCTTTATTATAAATGATCAATTCCTTTATCTGTTTGATTGGTTCCTTAAGCGACCAGTTCCTTTAATTTTTACAAATCAACAGTCCCTTTAATTGTTATAAATGATGGGTCCCTTAGCTTTATATCATGTACCTGTGTTTGTTAAAACTAAAGCAATCAATGAACAAGAAATAGCTGATGTAAACTTCAAATTCATCACCGAATCCACCTCTGACTTGATGCAATCCTATGTTACATCAATATAATTGCAGTAAAGCAGTATTTTTATTAAACCAACCCTAAATCAACTCATAAAAGCAACATACTATACCTCATAAAATAAGAGATGACAATAAAATATAATCTGAGAGTAGATACTTATTAAAGGTCATGTATGGTTTCTATTAATAACTCAGTCCATGTGGAGGATCTATCTGGAGTCAGAATCTTTTACATAAAGGTACAATGTATATTCTGATGATAAAATTTTAATATGATTTGAATGATTATAATTACCAATAACAAATTAAATTGGTAATATCTTTCATTCTTTATATGGATAGTTAAATGTTATTTTACACCTTGACCTTGCCTAATCTTAACGGGATCACCACATTATACCAACGCGCATTGTACTGAAAACCAATATACCGATGCACATTGTACCGAAACCTGTTATACCGATGCATGTTGTACCGAAAACCATTGCTGTATACTGACACCATGATTTTGTGATGTAAGAAGGCTTGTAATGGAATATGTATGATAAGTATTTTTGAAAATCATACATTTAATCAGGAAAACCAGGCAGGAAATAGCAACAGAATACTAGGATAGGCTTCATCAAGGAAGAGAGACTCAAAACTGCGAACACTAAAATCACAGCCCAAGTTAAACCTTCACGTACATGTTGTTAGTCTGCGAATATATGTCACTTATTTATTATCAAAGTTTAGTTTGGAAGAAAATAGATTTAAGAAGACCATGTAGGCTTTCCAATGGTGTGGGAAATGTGTGGGTGGGTGCGTAGCTTTTTCATATCATAAACAAAAGATGTACATATTGTTGTTAGCCAGCGAAGATATTTTGTGATTTATTATTTAAGTTCTATGCGTTACACTTAATTCCCAGTCCCTCAACATTTAATTCCATTCTGTTATGAAGGAAATTAAGGAACACTAAATAAGCCTTCCAATGGTGTGCTGTACATGTGGCTAGCTATATCAAATCATTTTTAGTGTTGTCAGCAAAAAATGTTTTGTCATCTTTTATTAAAGTTCAATACATACTGCATAAACTTTTCAATGGCGCATTAAACGTTGTATATGTGGCTAGCTATTTCAAATTATAAAAATGTACGTAATCTTGTCAGTTCGTGAAACTATTTCATCATCTATCACATAATGCGTTTAATTAAATTTAATTTACTGCATTTCTTTTTACATTTTTATCCTGTTTCCTTGATCCTTGAACTAAGGCTTGACAACACAGAATAAATGTTAAAATTGTGGCAAGTTTATATATATATGTGTTTGCTAATTTGTCTATCAATTACTTTGCACTTGCATTGTCTCTTAAAGGTTAAAAGCAGATGGTTACACGCAGGAAAACATTTTGGTACAATGCGCGTCAGTATTATGTCATTTGGTATAACGCCTTTCGGTACAATACACGTTGGCATAATGGGTTTCAGTATATAATGCACGGACCCCATCTCACCAATCTCCCTACTCTTCAATCTTACACTCACTCTCACCCACAACCACATCTCTCTTCTAACTCTCAACACCCACCTTATCTCTCCCCACTCCCCCACCATATCTCTCTCCCAAACCCACCCTCACCATCAGTGCCACCCTCACCAAGCCCCCCCCCCCCTGCATGCCAACAGCAAGTGTATTCTGTAAGATTAATAAATAAGTGACAGATGAGGTTGAGCCCCTGGATGGGGAAATGACCTGGAAGGCTACACGATACTATAGCTAAGTAATAAACTGCTTGAAAGGTGATTGATCATCCTAATATTGAGTTAATATATGAATAATCCCTCTAATTAAGATAAATGGGTGGATCATTCATTCGCTTCTCCTTAAGGAGACATACCTCTGTGCTTGAGCAATATTCAGCTAATCTGTCAAAAAGTAAAAGTAAAACACAATTAGGCCTAAGGTTTCTATATACCATTGGAAAGTTGGGAGTGGCAACCTATTGAATCTCAACAGATTAGCAAAGTTCGGCCAATTATTAACCCTTTCATCCCCAAGGGGTAAACTGGATATATTATATTTATAACAAACTCAATTTTTGAAGTTACGTCATAGATGTCTTAAGTATATAAAGTAAATCGTCAAACATCAATTCGGATTTCAAAATGTTATCTCCAAAACTGTCACTACAAAATGTATTTTAGTTGATTAAACAAAGAAATTATAACTTTCAAACCATATGTGTAAGCACCACTTTTTTATAGAGAGATTATTTTAAGACTACCATGTGGATTCTGAGACTTATTAAATGTGACTGTCTACTCACATGACAGTTGGGTGGATTCATGGACTGAAGGACAAGTGGGTGCCATGCAACAGCTGACCAATGCATGCCTAAATAAAAGGCCGCCTCTTCTCTTATATGAAACAAAGACATATTTGAGACATATATAATTATACCAGATGGCGGAAATCCACAACCAGAAATGTAATTCACCAGCAACCCTGTCCCTTATATTTAAATAAAATACAAGTCTCTTTGCATGATAATATTGATGAATGTCAATGTTCTCACAAGGTTCAATTCTATTCTAGACTTATTGCCTTACAGTATATAGAAAACATTTTCTGGGAATTGTGTGACAATTCCGTATAACGTGACTGATAGCTGCCATAGTCACATGGAAGATTGAATTATGATACAGCAGAGAATTAATGTCTTCTAATGCGTACTGAGTTATTTCAATAAGACAATGGAGAAAATCTACCCAGCTTCCAATCACAGTAAAATTCACACAATCAATCATTTGCCCGACAATATTTACAAAAATACTCTTATTGTTCTCAAATAGTGTATTCTGAAAAGGTAACATAACATGTTTTTAGATTATAATAATACTTCCTCTGTTGGAATCACATGTTTCAGCGTGTTATACAGGAAGTCTTCCAGGAAATGAAATACTGTAACGCCCAGAGAGAGAGTAAGTGGATTATGGGTTAGATACTGTGCTTTCTACATCGGGAAAGCTGAAATGTGAAGGCAATTTTATCACTTAAGTATAACCATGATGTTGGCCTCAAAGATCTGTTTTAAAGCTTTGGAATCATAGTAGATTATTATAATTGTAGATTGAAATACTGCAAAAACATGATGTCACATTATGTGACACATCAGGGCCGTCAGATGGGGGGGTGCGATGGGTGCGACCGCACCCCCCTTTGTCACCCCCCAAAATAAATTTGAAAAAAAAAATTTGAAAAAAAAAATTTTTTTGAAAATTTTTTTTTTGTAATTTTTTTTCATTGACTCATACACTTTGAAAGTACCCAGAAAGCACCAAATAGCATCTTGAAATTGTAAAATTTTCTAGGGGAATTGGCCACCCCTCACACCCCCCACAAAACAATGGAAAAGTTCTAAATTTATTTTAGAGTTTTGTCTCAGACACTTTTAAAGTGCCCAGATATCATCAAATAGCTCCTTGATATAGTTAGTGTTTCTGGGGGACTTACTCCCCCTCTTGCATCTTGCACTTGCATAACCCCCCCCCCTCTGGCGCCCCCCCCCCCTTGACCCCCCCCCAAAAAAAAAAATTGTGATTTTCTCAAATTCTTTAATTGACTCATACACTGAAAGTGCCCAGAAAGCACCAAATAGCGTCGTAAAATTGTAAAATTTTCTAGGGGGAGTGGGCCACCCAAAAACAAAATGGAAAAGTTCTGAATTTGTTTTATGTATTGTCTCAGACACTTTTAAATTGCCCAGACACCATCAAATAGCTCCTTGATAAAGTTAATGATTCTGGAAGACTAACACTTACTTGCCCTCTGGCATCCCCACTCCACCTCCCCCTCTGGCAGCCCCCCTCCCTTAACACTCCCCCCCCAAAAAATGAGATTTTTCAAATTTTTTTATTGACTCATACCCTTTGAAAGTGCCCAGAAAGCACCAAATAGCATCTTAAAATTGTAAAAAAATTTTGGGAAATAGGCACTTTTAGGCACAGACCAAACTTCATCGAATAGCACCTTGATATTGTAAATTTTGATATGGGGGACAAACACTTGCTCCCCCTCTGGCACCCCAGCCCCACCTCCCCCTCTGGCACCCCTCCCCCTTTGACACCCCCAAAATTTGAAAAAAAAATTGCGATTGTTTTTCAATGTTTTTATTGACTAATACACTTTAAAAGTGCCCAGAAGCACCAAATATCATCTTTAAATTGTAAAATTTTCTAGGAGAGTTAGCCACCCCTCACATCCCCCACAAAACAAAAGAAAATATTCTGAATTTCATGTATTGTCTCAGACATTTTTTAAGTGCCCAGACATCATCAAAGAGCACCTCGATATGGTCAATGTTTCTGGGGGACAACCCCTTGCTCCCCTACTGGCACCCCAACCCACTTCACCCTCTCATCATCATTGACACCACCAAAAGAATTTGAAAAAATTCACATTTTTATTATTGACTCATAACGCACAGGCGTACCAGATGGTTGCAAATTCGCTCCAAATACAACCAAATTTCAAAATTTCCCTGGGGGAAAACCCCCAGACCCCCTGAATGCTCGGTTTTTTATTCACTCAACTCTTATTCCCGTGGTGGTGGCCGTACTACTTTTTACCACTTTGAAAGTGCCCAGAAAGCACCAAATAGCATCTCAAAACTGTAAAATTTTCTAGGGTGAGTGGACCACTCCTCACACCCCCCACAAAACAATTGGAACGTTTGGAAGTTGCATGCATTTGTTAATTCCAAACCAATATAGGGAGTAACTGACCCTCCCCCCCCCCTCTGTCTTACACGATTTGATTTACGTGGCAAAAAATGACAATTTTATATTCTCTTTAGTAAGCTAAAAACCGCACCCCCCTTGGAGAAAAGTGTCTTACGGGCCTGCACATAAACACATTTAGAGAATTATGTCTTCGATATTATGTCAGTATATACTGTATATCATGCAGTTACCATGGCAGGTCATCATTTATTTAATCCTATAAGGCTCTCCCAAGGCACAACCTGCCATTAGCCAAATCAGAGTATATTACATCTATTTGATAATGAGCTGTGTTATCATATGACGTACTTTAGTAAATTGACAAAAATATGTTCACACAAAATATAGGGATAAGCAGTATAACATAGATTTTCTCTATTGACTTTGTGAAGCTACCCCCGCCGAAAACCCGCCATACAGCAAATGTGACTAAGGCTGAATACTATACTAAGTTCAGTGATACTGATGCCTTAAGCCAGTCCCAAAAGTATTTATAGAAGTAATTTTTCTGAACAGAAAACCTAACAAGTCATTCTGACCTTAGAAGTTCTATAAATTCAATAATTAATATTCCTTCTTGGGAACTTCAACATAATATTCAAATAATAGGTGATACAATTACCTTGCAGGTAAGTGGTTGGTTAAAAATGTGATTTCCATGGCAACTTGTTATAATGTCAGGCGTGTTGAGCTCTCAGAAGAAACAAGTCTGAGAATCTTAATGCATTTCTAAAGGAGCTTGCGTGACATTTCATATTTGTTATGTTATCATCAGGAAATGCTTTATGATGCTTTGTAGAAGGAGTTCAATTATAATACTGAAATTACATTTTCTCACAAATTAGAATTTTTATATGATTCAGATCAATGGTCTTCTAAAAATAACTCCAAAATATACAATTTTACATTGACGAATCAAAATATACAATTTTACATTGAGAAATAGTGACAAAAAAATTAATGATTCTTGAAAGCTTGTACATTCTGTAGTGTTTTAAGCTGCCTATATAAAACAAAGAGCAATCTGAAGACAACTTACACAGATCAAAATTCAAATTTCAGGTATCCAAAATAGAATGAAACAATTTTTAGAAATTATTTAAGTTATACACCAAATTTGAAAATTATTTCAGTAACACAACATAATTTTAACTTATTTATGTTACAAACCACACCATAATCAGAAATCATGTGAATAATAACATACCATATTTAGGAATTTTTTAGTAACACACCATATTAAAAAATTATTGGGTATACATCATATTTAGAAATTATTTGAGTACACATCAGATTTAGAACTAATTTGTGTTACTCACCATATTCAGAAACAATCTGAGTAATAACACACCATATTTAGAAATGTTTTGAGAAACACCATATTTAGAAATCATTTGTATTACACACCATACTTAGAAATTATTTGTGTTACACACCATATTAAGAAATTATCTGTATTACACACCATATTTAGAAATTAATTGTGTTACACACCATATTTAGAAATCATTTGTGTTACACACCATATTTAGAAATTATTTGTGTTACACACCATATTTAGAAATAATATGAGTAACATTTAAGTTGCATGTTTATCTACTGATGATCAATACATACTCATTTCCTTAACCAATATTTCAGACTAATTTCAAGCCTGATGATAACAGGAAGGAAAATAATTTCACAGCCTAAGTCTACTTTGTCATGAGATAGAATTATGGGAACATTCGACATTCCTTTGATATTTTAAATCACCTATTAGTATCAGTGAACCTAACTCATTACTTTCTCAGCACACATTTTACCCTTCATTATTCCTGTTTCAAATCAATATCACTTTCCGCTACAATAGGAATATAGAGTGGTGAGGGAACATGAATTAAAACAGTAAAACAGTAAAATCAAAACAAAATATCAACCAGACAATGGTAAATCAAAATTATATTCAACCAAATATAAAGTTCTTGCATGTGGCACCTTCTTTCAGGAGAATTTGATTAATGAATGCTTTTTAATTACTTTTTGATTACCATTTGGGCAGCAAATCGTCAAAAGATGATATGTCATGCTTCCTTTCTATGCAATGAATATCACCAAAATCTCATTTACCTTTTGAGTTATAGCAAAAAATGTAAAGCATCTTAATAGCTGCTAAAATTATTTCACATTAGACAAATTATCAAAATATACTTTATCAAGCTTAATATTTCAAATCAAATATCAAAATAATAGCTAAATGTGTTACTTTATCCTTTTAATATCTCAAAAGAGATAACTGATCCTATTGAAGATTTTAAGGATTATTGTGAATCATCCTCATTTACACGAAATAATGTCTGACTTTTTAGATTTTTTAGAAAAACATGTACAGTATAGTATATATTTCATGTTTCAACATTATGATAATGCACACAAGATTATATCATTAATTATCATTTTTACATTATATACAAATGTACCTGTATATATTCTTTTTAGTTTATGAAAACACAGAATTACATGTCCAGTTTCCTGGTCGCAATATTAGTTTTACTCATCTTTCCAGGTTGTGAATAATAGTATTCATGATGTCATATAGACCTACCTACAGGTCATTCCCACAGAAATGGTTAATCAGGAGAGAAAAGGCTGACAATTGGTAGGAAATGCTTATAACAAATGTTAGCATATACTCCTTTTTTATAATTCATAGATAACTGAAAAATATTAATCTTCGAGCACAATGGATAAATGTGCTGTACATAAAGAATTTTCAACAAGAATTTTCCATTGTCCACTTTGCCAGTAATATGATAGATAAGCCTCAGAAGTTTTCAATATCACAAGATGACTTCTAATTACGTCAACAGATTCTATGTTAATAGTACCGATTTGTAGTATTCATGTATTTGAGATCTTATTACTAAAGGTATATACACAAATTTGAAATTTATTGATTCTTGCAATATTCCATGCTTCTTCACATGGTGACGAGAATGCAGGAAACAACTTTTGTTATTTAGAAGAAAATCTATGTGGAAAAATCTATAATGTCTGAAGAATATAAAAGGACTTCCTAAGCATATTTTCTGTCCTGAATCTCATCATCCATTTCTCTAATGACTTGTTACTTTATTAGCAAAGAATATTCCTTATCATTTGAGAAAACATGTCTGCAGAAGATGTAAGAGGCTTAGGGTACAAAGGGACCTACTTTACCTTCTCAAAACAGTTTAATTTAATACTGAATTAGATTCCTTCTTCATTATAGCTTGTAGAAATGACAATAAAATCAATGACAATATGTCACCTACATCAGGCGCGTATCAAGCATACACGAGGGTACGCGTACCCTAAATTATATAGAAGTACCCCATTACACAGTCTGATATCGCTCAGAATGCACCATTTAAGGTTTAAAATCAAACATTTTGTGAGAGGAATGTCCCGGGAACCCCAAGTTTTGCTCAGTTATATGGCCATTTTTACAAAATGAAGGTGGACTTTCCACATAACATAATTACTTTAGAAAATGTGTTACTTTGACATAATTAGTATATTCGTGGTACAAAAACCTCAATGTCCTTTATTAAAGGAGTTTAAAGGTTTGCTGACCCTATAGAAAAAGGTACCATTGGAAAGCGATGATACTAATCTATAGGCAATAATTAAAGGACTCACCTGCATATCTATCTGTATTTACATCACATTCTATGGCCCAGGGTTTGACATCAACCTGTTGATGCATCTCAAGTAGCATTTCTTTAATCTCAAGTATATCACTGAAATAAAAACATGTCATAATCCATTAATATCAAGAATGTATATGTTGCAACAGATCCTTATATACATAGTGATAATCTGAAATGGGTGTTTTTTATTTACAGTAAAACTGGTGTATTTGAAACACCATTCTTAACACCACTTAATGTGAACACTTTAATAATCCCAATTTCTTCCGTTGCTTCACAAGTTAGAAATAAATCTGAATGCATCCAAAAGATGAGATTGATCGAAACTTGTCATGAAAAGCAATGTTATTATGAACTTACTTTTCAAGCAGTTCTAGATCACTGTGTTGGGGGCTTCTGTTGCTATTTGAGGCAATTGTGTCAGAGGAACTTGAACATTGGCTCTTCTTGCCTCCCCATATATCCTGTACACCCGTGTTGATCAAAACTGAGCTTCCTGGAATCAACAAATAAAACATGCAATGTATATTAGTCCATCCCATATTTGGACATGTTTGACAAACATAAAGCAGGTTCGTAAATTGTTGCATTTTAACAGAAAACAGCGTATTCCAATCATCTTGCAAATCTGGCAAATCTGGCAAATAGAATCTTTCATATTATAGACATAGCTTTTTAATATCAGTGAATTTGTAATAAAATGCCAATGTTATAAATATAAGCATTTGCAGGCAATAAGGTAAAATTGTTTTGATAAATAGCGAACAGAATATAATACGTCTGTATAAGAGGAAAGCTTTGTCCACCAGTATATCTGCACATGACTTGCTTACTGTTTGGACCCATTTTAATACAAAATTGTAATACTTAAAATGATTGAATGAAAAATGTCAAATTGGCCTTCAATATTTTAAATTCTAAATGGTCATCTAAACAGCTTACTAAGCGTAATAGTTAGAGTAAATCAAAATGCAAGATATCATATATAATATACATTGGGGAAAGCCTGCATGTTAATCACATCGTATTGAATATAAAATAGTTATTGAAATTCAGACTGCATTCATTGATTATTTTCAAACAATGATATTAATTCACTATGCAAAGTTAAACAAGAAAAATTGCTTTTGTGTCTGACAATGCATAACCAGTGATAATTAATAAGGGTCAAGGTTAGTTGTTTCACTTCAATGAAAAGACGTCAGAATTGTATTCACATGTTTCTCTTAAATGAAAAGATATCAGAGGGTAATTTGAATATTTGGAAATGTATGACACCCAAATAAGTATAAAAATGGGTAACACATTTGAGATATTCTTTGAAGATTTTGAGGAAATATGAGACAATGGGATAGATCATAGATGGTGCTGACAGCTATTTTTGGCATTGCAGGAAACAATAGTAAAGCTAATCCCCATTGTACACATATTATTCTGGACAATCAATATTGGTAGGAAATACTGTTTCTGTCATTAATTGGTAGTGTGGTATGAATAGCATGTATAATCAATGTCCTAATGGGATATTACATGAGACCTGTATCTAACATGATGATCGTCTCTGGATGCCTGCCTGTCCAGCAACTTTCCGAACAGGTGATTACAAATTATTGAATCTGATTGGTCAGTTTCTGTCATGTGACTGTCTGAGATGTGGCAGTGTGTTATCCTCCAGTATATTAGTGTGATATTATAGAGTAGTGATTTTTTGTTCTCTAATAAGAGTTACATTATCACTATCCTTAGTATTATCACACATTATATGCAGAGTCAATGGAAAACAATGGCTTCATTAATGTATATAGACATTAAGAGAAATAATAATATAATAACCATCATACACCTAGTTGTAGCTCATCCCATGGGATCAACAAATGTAACATGAATATGTAAAATGTGGGAGTCATGGACGTGTTAATTTTGTTATGTCAACAGCTATATCATACAATTATAAATAGTTTGTATATCATACAATTATAAATAGTTTGATGATCCTACAAAAATTACAACAATGACGTAACAACACTGGCAGCTCAATAATGGTCCCACAAAATGATTTATTGGTTGAGTGCAAAGTAGTTGTCGATATGTTGTCGAATGTGGATTGCGCTGGTAAAACTATTTTACTATACTACATTATGCTGTTTGTCATAATCTGGATGAATCGTTCACTCTTAATTAGCTAATAATCATTTCAACGAACAATTCTATCTTGGTATTTGATTGCCCTTTATGAGGGCCTTCAAATGGCAATTTATAATTTCATTCTCATTAGACTGGCTTATACTGCTTATTAGATCTAGATTGAAGCCAGGGTACATCAACAACTACACTACTGTATAAATTGTAATCCAGTCTTGTCAGAAACAAGATCAGTGAGACAATGTCAAATGGAGATCTATCAAGAATTATTCATACATGTTATTTTAAAATATCATACTTTATCTTTAAGGGTTAGCTCATGTTGGTTTATAATAAGTCATTTTGATGAATTTCATGATGATATATTATGGTAAATATGATGCGTGTATATTATCTTTTTATTATTATTTTTGTCACAGGCTCTTTTTGACATGCCATGCAATTATTTTTCTGCCATATATTCCTAATAGGCTTGTCTGAAATGTTTCCATCGTGATTCAAGAATAACGCAAATAAAGCAAGACATATTACTATACTTATTTTATAACTAGGATTTATCTCAGAAAGTATATGAAATGACTACTAAAATAGATATATTATTGGACTAATCGGTTAAATGGCAAAGCTAAAGTGGAGCAGTTATCCAAATACATTCAAGAACGGCAGGTATATAAAGGATTCTTCATAAAACATATATGTTAAGTGGAAAAAGTAAGACATCTTAAGGTTCAATGATGAAGGCAAACAAATTTCTTGGATCTTATTAGTATGGCATTTTATGGTATGGTGGTAGATTACGATAGGGTATGGCATAGTATGATATGGCATGATATGATGTGAAATAATATGATATAGTCTGGTCTGGTCTAGTATGGTGTCAAATGTTTTGTTATGGCATGGTATGGTATGGTATGGTATGGTATGGTATGGTATATAATGATATGGTGTGGCATATGGTACATTTTATTATTTATTTATTATTCAGATGTACACTTTTATATCAGTGGCACACTAAAAATATTTAAGTGCATCTGGAGTCAAATATCACCATATATGACATGGTAACATATGGTATGGTATGATGATACAGATAGTGATGTAATGGTGTATTTGGTATGGCATGATTAAGTATTATGTGTTATGGTATGATAATATTGTACAGCATATTAAGATATGGTATGACATGATATTGTTTGGTTTGGCATGAAATGGTCTGATATGATATGGCAATGGTATCAATGGTATATTTAAAGGATATCCTATGATTTTGAGGAATATCATTTTTATCTACGAGGGGATATTGATATCTGCACGAGAGAGCGAAGCGAACGAGTGCATATATCAATATCACCGAGTAGATTAAAATGATATTCTGAAAAAATCATAGGATGTTCTTATTATCCTACACTTACAAGGAGTGTACTAAATGTATAATATCATTGCAAAATGAATTCCATGCCAAATAGAGTCAATTTGACGGGAAATCAACGAAATCACGATATCCTCCGGATATTCATTTTGCCAATAAATATCAAATTTATTTTTTTATGTTATTATACATTTAGTACATTAAGTGTAGGATAAAGTGTGGTATGGTACAATATGGTATTTACAATACATTATCATATGGTAATTTTGTAAAGTAGGATGCCTAATATGTTATGGAATGGTATAGTATGATATAATATCATGCAATATGGAATGGTATGTTATGGTATGGGCTGGTATAGTTTGGAATAGTATGGTAATTTTGCAAAATAGGATATTTTATGGAATGGTATATTTGATATCATGCAATATGGTATGGTATGGGGTGGTATGGTATGGTATGGTATGGTATGGTATGGTATGGTATGGTATGGTATGGTATGGTATGGTATGGTATAGTATGATTAGGCATGGGCTGGTATAGTTTGAAATAGTATGGTGTATGTGGTAATTAACAAACTTCCTTTCTGTATGTTTATTAGCCTTGTTCGAAGATCCTTCTCCTCTAAGGAATCACAAACCTAGAAAAATGTGTAGACTCACCCAAAATAAAATGTTTCTGCAAGCGTAATGTCTGATGAAGTTGGTTGTTGAGGACCTCAACACAAGTAGAGAATGTGTTCCAGAGTTTTTCTATATCACTTATTTCATCTTCTTTGAGATGTTTATTTTTCATCGCCCTGAAAAGTAAATAATATCAAATTTATAAATGGCGATACAATGCAAATGCAGTGAAAACATAGAAATACATAAAAGAAAAATGATTTGATGAACAGTGTCAGTGATGTTACATCCACTGAGGGACTTTACGTAAAGTGAGTTCTGAGAACGTTTAAATTCATTTTTATTCTATATTAATAAAACCCAAAATGCTTAAAAATTACAGTTCAGATAATATTGATCAAAATAAAATAGACTGTATCTTGTATTATTCTTTATTGTGAGTGATGACTCAAAATACAAGTTTTGAAAAATCTGCTTGATTTTACCGTTTTTCATATGGGATAAAAAGAGTACATGTATGTTAGTAGCATGTCCAAGTACATAAATGTCAGACCAATTTACACTTTATGTTATCTCTCATATAGTAGCAGATATAACTACAAAGTAATCGATGAGTCAATGTTAAATTAAAACCTGTATTTTTAATATTGGTTTTCTGACCTAACTATTACTTCATTAATAATCATTATTTTCCACTATTTATGCATATCATCTTTTTGATGAGTTGACAAAATATCTCATGCAAGAACATTGAATCAACAAGATATACTGTGCTGTTACAAATATTGCATTTGAAGAGCAAAATGACTGCCTTGTAGATTATCCAGAATGCCCAAGATCTAATCATACTGAATTGTAACTTGTATGTTTTTGCACTGTTGACGACAAGAATTTTTCTTCCACCCAAACATCCATGAAGGAGTAATGATTTTTTATCACACTTATAGCACATCTCGTGATATAAAAATCTTTGGTTGTAGTGGATCGTTGCATTCCCATACATGAAGAAAACAATACACACTATGCAAGAGCCACAACTGCATTGATATTCATTGTGAACAAATGTCAACTCAATTAAACAATAGCTTAAAATCATGTTGAAACATCACATAAAACTGCATATATCTGTTCATGATAAAAAATCAATAAACGCATTGAAAAATTGAACAATTCAAAATTCATCATTAATATGTTGTGATTATGTTTTGTGATTTCTCAAAGAGAACAAAACAACTCAAAAATAAATGGCAGGAGTTCTTCATAAAAGATCAGCCAACAGAAAAATATAACCTTCTTAAAAGAAATTTGGTTTTCATAACGTGAGACATCACAGAGATGAGCTGAAACCACCATCATTGCTCTCATCATTTAATAACCTAAAGTTTTGCCCAACCTATTTTTACTGGCCTATTTAATACTGCACATCAGTCAACTACCTATTTTAACACACCCCCCCCCCCACCTCCTATTCCTCATACAGTGAAACCTGTCTACGTCTACCCTGAACACCTTCTGGACAATTCAAAAGTGTTCAGATAAGCACATTTCAACTTTCAAGCTTTCTAAAAATATGAGAAAAGGTTTTCACATTGAGAGGTGTTAGGATCAAAGAGGTGTTCAGACCAGAGATATAATTTCCAGAACTTACTTTCGAAGATGGGGCAGCAGCTTAGATTTGTTTGATTTTGCAAGCTCATGAGCTTTCCTACGTGACTTTTTCAATTCTTCTCGTAAAGTGATTGAATCATGTGAGGCTCCTAATGAGACAACAAGGCTGCAGTAACGAGCTGTTTCTTTGTTAAGCTCCTTTATGGCCTAAAAGCACAGAATAAAGAATACTTATTAATAATATTTATTGTACTGTTTCCATCCAGTCCAAACATCACTGCTTTCGTTACAATATATTTTTACAGAAACTTTAACATAGTGAATCTACAGATACTATTTTGTTTAAGGATTTAAGGCCCGGACTCAATGTGGAATGATCATTCCTTGAAGATGTTGCTTTCCAAAATTTGCACAAGATGCAGTAGCATCAAGTGTTAATTTTTGGGAAACAAAACCTGAAAGGCATGCAGTTATTTGAAATATGGTGTCTGGATTGGCTGGAATTGGACACACCTTGCCTAGCTATATGTGAATTAAAATTAAAGTACAGGGTGTCCATAAGGTCTCTTTACAATTACAATACAAAGTGTATAGAGATTATGGACACCCTGTATATAAGTTGCTCCAAACCAAACATGAATTAATATTATTCAGCTCATTTTTCATCCATGTATCCAGGACTTTTAGACAGCCCTCCATGAGGTATTTGAAATGCAGCCAGCCCTCCATGTGGTATCATATTCCTCTATAACCATGAAGATAAAAGTACAATGATCATCTTACAAAATGATCATATTGAGTATTACATATTTCTAACATCCCTTATAATTATGTCTGATATAACTACAGTATTCATTCTAATAAATGCACATTGTATCTCTCTTGCTCTAATAGGGGGTGTGTCTAATTACTGAATCCTAAAACAACATAAAAACAAGGCATTAACATGACAAAATGTCACCACCTAGTTGCTCACAATATTATGAGTTCAATCTATAAGCAGATTTGAATTTCTAACTTGTAGATGATTTTGAAAAAATAAACTGGTCAATTTGAAGCAAGTTGAAAAATTACCTTTTTTACCCTGAGAAGGTCGAAAATTTGAGGTGTCCAAAATTTGGTAATATGCAATAAAATTTGAACCAAGGTGCTCAAAATGTGGGCCAAGGTGTTCAGATTTGGACCAAGGTGTCCAAAATTTGAAGGAAGGTGTTCAACATTTGTAAGTCACTCATGTTAGGTGTTCCCAAGTTGACAGGCCTGGAACATGTAGATGATTTTGAAAAAAATGGTCAGTTTGAAGCAAGATGAAAAGAGACCTTTTTGACCTTTTTGTCATTGAAGGTCAAATCTTTTTTGACCTTGAGAATGTCATCGAAGGTTCTTACATTACCGACATGAATATCTATTTATTTTAAGACAACATTTTGAAACCTTCTGACTCCTTCAATTTTCTTTTTCACCTCAACCGCACCACAAAAAAACAATACAATAAAAAACATATGACATCAACTTTAACATATTATCAAAAAATCATCTCAAATTCCCGCCAATTTATAATTTCCGTAAAGGTTTCAAAACATTCCCTTGAAATAAATATAGACTGTGCAAGAAGAAAATTGTTCTGATGTTGATTAGATTTCAACCTGATGAAAATATAATATCTACCTGGGTGGGACTAAAATTGTAAATTGCAATGTGCCTCACCTGCATGGTTATTTTTTATAGTTCTTTTTTAATTCTAGCATCCATAGTTCTGATGCTTCGTGGGGGAGGAGAGTCTGCATTATTAATATTATATCATTATATGTGTTTATCCTTAAAGAGAGAATATGCTATTTTCTTAATAATAGTTCCATTCATGTACAATTACACATGTGAGGTAATATACAGGCACAATAATAGAGTACTAGAAAACAAACAGTATTTAATTGTCACAGTTTTTCACAATCTTTTTCACGGATGAGTCCTTCATCAACTTTTTTCATATGATAATCAAGAGAGAAAGAAATCATATGTATATTGAAAGTTGTTTCACTACAATCAAATTCATCTGCAATCACCATGGCCATGAGCACAATTTTATCAAATAATCAAATCACAAACATCTTCATGGAACTATACACAAACTATAAACTGGCAATGTTGTCTTAGTTTACAGATTCATCCTGCCTAACCTGATATTTCCAACTCCGATCCGTAACATTTACAATTGTATTGTGTTAACAATAACATGAATAACATTTCTTGCCAATGTTTAAATGTTTCTGTAGATAATGTATTGACTTTCAATGTTTATTAGAAATTAGAAGTTTATTAAAACTAACATACTTCAATTAGCAAATGTTTTGAAAATAAATGTTCATTAAAACCAATGTATCACTCTAATAGGCGAATGGGTTGAAAAGTAAATGTTTATTAAAACCAAGAGACTTTAAATTACCGATATCTTATTTCAGTATCTATAATATGACGTTAGATCTTTTGAGATTTTATACTTAGAATTGTTAATGATAGCATCGATTGACAAATTGATATGTTTGCTAACAAGCTATTCTGCTTTGTACAGGTACTTTCAAACAGAACAAGTTTTTCCAAAATTGTCTCAATATCAGATTAATTTTGGTAAATATAATTTCCTGATACAACCGGCTATATCCCAAAGATTCTAATAATTTATGTTTAAATCCAGAAAAATTATGGATTTAGGACAAATGAGTCCAAAGTGTTGATATCCACATACCGGTATGTCATTATGAAGAAATATTTATTTTTTCATATCAAATCCTATTAATGTCACCTTTTATTTTTCCGTTGTACCTAAATCAGAATTGGAAAGATGGACAAAAGCCCCTAGAATTCATATTTAGAGTGATCTGGTGAAAATTTACGAAAAAATAATTTGTATATTTACCTGTACCCATTGGTTTCTCATGGTACATGTGAGTCTTTGTTACCCTTGGCAACACATATGACTTACACTACACAGTCTTAAACACACAATAGGACATCATTTTGGCATCATAAAAATCAGTCATGCTATCCAACTATATACATGTGAATTCCATAGATATATAATCCCATGTGTTTCGATGATGTTATACAAATATTATGTGTAATATAGTTCCTATTAGTTAAAAGTCTTGCTTGTTTGTCAGCCTTGTAAAACACCATAAAAATCAATCTATTGGAAAGACGAGTAGAGATCTCTATGTCTCTCCTCGGACAAATCAATCATACGCTTTATTCCTTTATGCTGTGTTCTTAGATGTTACATCCATCGTAATTGACAGCCATCAAGGTATACCTATATATAATACTACAGCCATTAAAATCCTCATAATTTCATATCATATTACTATCGTCATGATACAATGATACATATCATATATAGTAGCGTTTCATCCTACTGACTAAATATATTCATTTACACGGCTGTGTGTATACACAGAACAGTATTGCCAACCTATGTTATAGTCAACTGACAACGCAGTAGGTTTAATCAATAATATAAAATGGAGAGCTGAGGCTGTTGAGTAATTATAAATTATAATACCACGAGTATCGAGATTCAATTATAACAACTGTATTGATTGTTTATTCAACAACAATCATTTTGAGGAGATCCATATCACAGATAAAATGTTGACCTTTAAGGTTGATCTGTAGGATGAGACTTTAATGTTGGCCTTTAAGGTTGATCTGTAGGATGAGACTTTTATTTTGGCCTTTAAGGTTGATCTGTAGGATGAGACTTTTATGTTGGCCTTTAAGATTGATCTGTAGGATGAGACTTTAATGTTGGCCTTTAAGATTGATCTGTAGGATGAGACTTTAATGTTGGCCTTTAAGATTGATCTGTAGGATGAGACTTTAATGTTGGCCTTTAAGATTGATCTGTAGGATGAGACTTTAATGTTGGCCTTTAAGATTGATCTGTAGGATGAGACTTATGTTGGCCTTTAAGGTTGATCTGTAGGATGAGACTTTTATGTTGGCCTTTAAGGTTGATCTGTAGGATGAGACTTTTATGTTGGCCTTTAAGGTTGATCTGTAGGATGAGACTTTAATGTTGGCCTTTAAGGTTGATCTGTAGGATGAGACTTTAATGTTGGCCTTTAAGGTTGATCTGTAGGATGAGACTTTAATGTTGGCCTTTAAGGTTGATCTGTAGGATGATACTTTAATGTTGGCCTTTAAGGTTGATCTGTAGGAAGAGACTTTTATGTTGGCCTTTAAGATTGATCTGTAGGATGAGACTTTAATGTTGGCCTTTAAGGTTGATCTGTAGGATGAGACTTTAACGTTGGCCTTTAAGGTTGATCTGTAGGATGAGACCTTAATGTTGGCCTTTAAGATTGATCTGTAGGATGAGACTTTAATGTTGGCCTTTAAGGTTGATCTGTAGGATAAGACTTTAACGTTGGCCTTTAAGGTTGATCTGTAAGATGAGACCTTAATGTTGGCCTTTAAGATTGATCCGGAGGATGAGACTTATGTTGGCCTTTAAGGTTGATCTGTAGGATGAGACTTTTATGTTGGCCTTTAAGATTGATCTGTAGGATGAGACTTTTATGTTGGCCTTTAAGATTGATCTGTAGGATGAGACTTTAATGTTGGCCTTTAAGATTGATCTGTAGGATGAGACTTATGTTGGCCTTTAAGGTTGATCTGTAGGATGAGACTTTTATGTTGGCCTTTAAGATTGATCTGTAGGATGAGACTTTTATGTTGGCCTTTAAGATTGATCTGTAGGATGAGACTTATTTTGGCCTTTAAGATTGATCTGTAGGATGAGACTTTTATGTTGGCCTTTAAGATTGATCTGTAGGATGAGACTTTTATTTTGGCCTTTAAGATTGATCTGTAGGATGAGACTTTAATGTTGGCCTTTAAGATTGATCTGTAGGATGAGACTTATGTTGGCCTTTAAGGCTGATCTGTAGGATGAGATTTTTATGTTGGCCTTTAAGATTGATCTGTAGGATGAGACTTTAATGTTGGCCTTTAAGATTGATCTGTAGGATGAGACCTTAATGTTGGCCTTTGAGATTATTCTGTAGGATGAGACTTTAATGTTGGTCTTTAAGGTTGATCTGTAGGATGAGACTTTTATTATGGCCTTTAAGATTGATCTGTAGGATGAGACTTTAATGTTGGCCTTTAAGATTGATATGTAGGATGAGACTTATGTTGGCCTTTGAGGT